TTTTCATTCCTGATGGGTTTGTGTCCCTTGTTTCCCTGCCTGGATTAGGCTGTAGCTTCCCATTGACTTTAATTGCAGGGCATAGTAGCACCAAGAGATACCCTAAAGGATTTCTTACATTTCAGACATAATTTTTCTTACCTCCATTGTGGAGAAGCAATCCAATTTCTCCACAGTAATCTTCATCAATCACTATTCCTAACACTGTTATGCCTTTGGTTCAAGGGCATTGGAAGCCCAAAGTGGCCAGGGGGAAGCCCTGAGTTTCAGTCTAAGGGAATGTTTGTTGTCGTCTCCTGGTTGGAGTGCTCCCCCACCTGGAACCAAAACTTCTAGGCCATAAGAAATTAAGGTCATGGGAACTGGAAGCAAAAAGGTTCCTAGTGGGCCACTAGGGGCAACAGTAAGTGGAACCATTCCTTTTTCTACCCTTCGATTCCTGCACCCATGAATATATGACCATGTGTACTGCCCAAAGTTGTGCTTGCTGTGAAGATTTTCCTTTGCTGGTGCCTTTCAAGGTTGTCACAAAAAGGAGTTGACTTCTGTGTGGGGCCTGCATAACATGGTGAAGCATTAGTGAAGCCAGGCGGTGGTGCACGCCTTTAATCACAGCACTCAGGAGGCAGAGGCAGGCAGATCTCTGTGAGTTTGAGTCCAACTGGGTCTACAAGAGCTACTTTCAGGACAGGCTCCAAAGCTGCAGAGAAACCCTGTCTCAAAAAACCAAAAAAAAAAAAAAAGAATGCTGAATATGGTAATAAGTATTTGTAACCCACTGCTGTGGAGGTAGAGACAGGCTGATCTCGAAAAAACAAAAACAAAAACAAAAAAACCCAAAAAACAGGTGGCAATGAGGACTACTGAGAACTCAAGAACAATGGCAATGGGTTTCTGATCCTACTGCACGCACTGGCTTTGTGGGAGCCTAGGCAGTTTGGATGCTCAACTTGCTAGACCTGGATGGAGGTGGGGGTTCCTTGGACTTCCCACAGGACAGGGAACCCTGATTGCTTTTCGGGCTGAGGGGGGGGACTTAATTGGGGGGGGAGGGAAATGGGAGGCGGTGGCAGGGAAGAGACAGAAATCTTTAATAAATAAATAAATTTAAAAAAAAAGAAAAAAAACAGGTGGCAAATTAAAGATTTTTAATGACCTAAATTCAGTGCTGAAATAAGATTAATTGGACTGCAAGTGCCATCTTAGGGTAACCCAAATCTGTCATTGGAACCATGAAAGTTTTGTTGGTGTGTGACTTTGACAATACAATCATAGATGACAATAGTGACACCTGGATTGTACAGTGTGCTCCAGACCAAAAAAAAAAATCCTATGGAAATGCAAGATTCTTACCAGAAGGGGTTCTGGACAGAATTTATGGGCAGAGTCTTTAAGTATTTGGGAGAGAAAGGGGTGAAAGAAGACGAAATGAGGAGAGTTGACATCAATGCCTTTCACTTCGGGGACGGTAGAGCTTTTCAGCTTTCTAAGAGGAATAAGGATACATTTGATTGCATCATTATTTCAGATTCAAACTCAGTCTTCAGAGGTTGGGTTTTAGAAGCTGCTGATTTTTATGATGTCTTTGATAACGTGTTTGCTAATCCAGCAGCTTTTGAGAACAGTGATCCTCTCAACAGTTAAAGATTGCCACACTCGTTCTGGCAATAGCTGTCTGAAGAACCTTTGTAAAAATGCAGTTTTGCTAGAATTTATAGATAAACAGAGATGGGGTGAGATTCAGGATTGTTTATATTGGAGATTGTGGAAATGATGTCTGTCAGTTACCTTTTTAAGGAAAATGATGTTGCCATGCCACGGAAAGAATATACTCTACATAGAATTCTTGCAAGAATGTCTCAAAATCTTGAGTGTATTGAATCTTCTGTTGTAATTTGGTCTTCAGGTGTTAAATAATTTCTCACAATTTCTAATGAAGGAGTAATGTGCCAACAAAAAATTTAACAGGCATTAACAGCTCTTCAATACTCATAAAGAAATACAATTTTAGGGATCAGGTCACAGGGTCACTCCTAGTGTCTAATATGGAGAACATGTTTTTCAACCTGCAGATGACCCTAGCATATGAGGACAATGGCACAGCTCAGAAGCACTTATTTTTCCTTTCCTAGGTCTGGCCTTGAGACTGGTGAACGGTAGCCACAGGTGTGAGGGCTGAGTAGAGATCTCTTACAATGGTACCTGGGGCACAGTGTGTGATGACAGCTGGGACCTGACAGATGCCAAGGTGGTATGCCAGCAGCTTGGCTGTGGTGTGGCCATGTCAGCCCCAGCTGAGAGCTACTTTGAGAGAGGCATGGGCCATATCATGCTGGATGATGTTCAGTGCACGGGGGATGAAGCCAAGGTGTGGCAATGCACACATCACGGATGATCCTCCCACAACTGTGGGCACCATGAGGATGCCAGCGTGGTTTGCTCAGGTGAGAGGCAAGGCTTGCATCACCTCTCAGAGACAGAGCTTTGCCAACCCCAGCCATTGGGAAGGGAGCTGTCAATACCAGCAGGCAAGCTGTCAGCAATGAGCTCTGGGATTTGACCTGATTTTAAAGTCAATTTACTTAAGAGTTAGTTTGTGAGCATAGATTCCAGCATCTGTAAATTGTTCAAAATCTCACCTGGAAAATAGCCTACCCGCCCCCACTAGTCAAGGTACAATTTTAATTATCATTTCCTTTAATCTGAATCTTTACTATGTGAATTTTTTTTTTACAAGGAAGCTTCAAACTTCATCAGCTTAAACAGAGAGCCAGGGCCACATCCTGCAAATAGACCACACTTAAACTCGATACAGTGTCTTAGTTACTGTTCTATTGCTATGATAAAACACCCCTGACCAAAATAACTTACCAAAGAAAGCAATGTATTTGAGGCTCATGGTTCCAGGGGCTAGAGTCCATGACCAGTATGGTGAGGAGCATGGCAGCAGGCGGGTAGGCATGGAGCTGGTGCAGTAGCTGAGAGCTCACATCTTGATCCACACAGAAGCAGATGGAGTTAATTAGGGTTTTCTTGGGCTTTTTTTTTCTTTTTTTCTTTTCTTTCTTTTTTTTTTTTTTTTTTTTTGGTTTTCCAAGACGGTTTCTCTGTAGCTCTGGAGCCTGTCCTGGAACTAGCTCTTGTAGACCAGGCTGGCTTCGAACTCACAGAGATCCGCCTGCCTCTGCCTCCCAAGTTCTGGGATTAAAGGCATGTGCCACCACTGCCTGGCCTTTCTTAGGCTTTTCAAACTTCAAAGCCTGCCCCCAGGGACACACCTCCTTCAACAAAGTTACACTTGCTAATCCTTCCCAAGCAGTTCAACCGGCAGGGAACAAATCTTTCAAACATATGAGCCTATGAGAACCATTTTCACCACAAACAGTGACAATGAAATCATTGTCAGAACCAGAAATTTGTTTTTGAAAATTTCATAGTACCTGGATATAGCTAAGTGTTTAACACTAGCTGCTCTCTCGAGGATAAGGTTCAGTTCCCAGTACCCACATAACAGTTACACTATCTGGGATACATGGAATCTTCTCTGTAATTGGTCAGCTGATTAATACATTAAAAATAAGAATTACAAAATCTAACCAACTAACAAGACAGACACATCATATAGGTGACTCTCCCTGTGGTCATAGTGTATAAAAAGAAAAGAAACCTGTATTCTAGACTCCATTATCGAGACAATGGACCTAGATATTCAGAATCTCAGGTGGTGACTTGGAGTCACTCTTAGATGTGCAGGTGGAATACATCTGGTTTTGGTTTCTCGCCAAAGAAATAATTCAAATTAGCAGGTTTCCCTGTGGGGTCGGAAAGGACGAAAAGATGTTGTTTGGTGATTCCTCACTCTGCTTGTGTCTTTCGTAGCCTCTCTGTCTGGCCCAGTACCGTCATTTCCTGTTAGTGATATGATTTCAGGTAATGTTTATTGACTGGCTCTCATGTGCATTGGTGAAGTTACACTGGGACGTAGGGTAGTGGTTTAGGGGCCTAACACCCTGTCTTCATCATCACTAAATTAGCAAATGTCTGAAATATTTCAAGTCTGCATTTCCTCCTCTGGATGATGTGGGTGCATCCTCAGGATATATTGGGATTGGATGACTTTCCTAGTACAGAGGTAGGGTTGGCACTGTGCCTGGCATGTGACAGAACATACTGGGTAGATATCAGCCATTATCTTCTGACTCCCAAGGCCAGAGCTTTGTAAGCATTTCCCTCTGCACACTGCTTTCTACCTGGCAGAACAAAGAACAAAGTAGCTAAAAGCATGAACTTTTTCATTAGCTCCTGGCTCTTTGTGACCCAGTAGTTGCCACATTTCAAATTCAGTCACTGGCTCTTTAGGGCAGGTCATTAAGAGCAGAGTTCAACACTCAGAGAAAAATCAGGAGAAAGGAAGTCTGTTCCCTTCAAAACAAAACAATTGAATGGACCCTTTTGAAGGCTGCTCTCAAAGCCTTGTGTCATTCAGTGGTTCTGCTGAAAGAGTTTAACGAAAATGAACAGTGGCTCCCAGAAAACACTTTATTTTATTTTTATATGAGATTGCTGGCAGTATTTGGAAATGAATTAATATATTTCCAGAAGAACAGAAAGAGGTCCACCCACCTATCAGCACCCAAATAGTAACAGATATTTTTAAAAACAATCTTTAGTTGCCCACAGGAGAGAGACAACCATGCTTTTTCTAATGTTTCATACATTTGAAGACAATGATCAAGGTCTTGAGAGTGAAGAATAACAGAATCAGCATTCTTTATTTTCCTTTATTGCCTACAACAGACAAACTGCCTTAGAAGTTAGTGCTCAGGATTGGTTAGTGACAAACCCCAGAGAAGAAATCCCTTGGCTTCTCCTGCCCATCTGAATGCATAGAGTAGACAGTGCTGCCAATGTCTGGCTTCTGGGTGACCAAACATTGCTTCCTGGTAAGAAACAGACCTTGCTTCCAGTTTCCCAACACACTCTTGTAACAGTGGGAGAGATCACACCAGGGCCTTGCTCTAATGACCTGCTCTGTGAATCTTCAGTGGCCCCACTGTTTGGAAGTACTCAGTTGGTTCTTCTCTGGCCTCTGCAGAGCCTGTGCCTCTCCTCCCCCGCCCTGTACAGCCTTGTGAGCATCGGGACGAGTGGTCTCCTATTCGGCAGACAGCAACCTTACACTGCAGGTAGACCACATCGTAGCTTTTGAGGAAGCTGAAGGCGTTGAACTTAAACTGGGCCACGTTCTTCCCAGAGGTATGCAGGTCGGAGTAGGATTTGTCTTTGATGCACCTGACGGGGAGGAAAACCCAAACCAAAAAGGTTAACTAACACATGACATAAATTTCCTTCAACCCACATAACCAGGCTGGCTTCTAAGGTTCTGAATGCCAAAAGGAGATCTTCCCACTCCCCTCCCTCTTGTGAAGCAACAACTACTAAAATACTACTATGCTACTACTACTACCACCACCTACGATTTTAACACCATTGTTCATGGAAACCGTATACCTGGTCATAAACAAAAGGGAACCGTTAAATACAGGAAAAACAAGTCAAGGTTTTAGCTGTAACCTATTTTGCCTAGAGGGAAGATTATAAGGTGGATGATATATTTAAAAATGCACTTAGATTATTTAAAAAGTTTATCATAGGCCTGGTAATGCAGGGCAGTGGATGAGGGCTTGGTTACCTATCACCCACAATGTTCTGAGTTCAATTCCCAGCACTACCCAAAGAACGTAGATTGTAAACTGTAGGGTGACATAAGTTGTATATTAAGAGGAGATAAAGTGTTGTTATGTAAATGTATAGTTCAAAAGAATCAGAGAAGTTAGAGAAGGTAGGCACAGGGCAGGGAAAGAACATAAGACAAATATAACAAATGGTGGTAGAGTCTAATCCAACTGCTTGCACGAGAATGTTAAATATGAACGGTTCATATTTACACCAATGTGAAGACAGAGAATAGATTACAGGAGAATCCACAAAACCTCCAGCTACGTGCTCTTTACAAGACAGCCGTGTAAATACACAGACACCGACACTGAGATGGAGGGAGAGCAGCATGGCAGCCGCTCCTTTGTTCAGAACAAACTTCAGAGTGCGCAGAACTGTCAGGGACAAGATGGGTGTTTTGTAACAACAAAAGAAAGGGTCAACCCTCTACGAGCAGATCCTTACCCAAGATAATCGAGGTAAGGAACAAATCTTTATCCCAACATAATAATCGTTAAAATAATGCACCTGCAGTCAGAGCGTTAAATATGGGAAGCAAGGGAACCGAAGTGAGATACCGACAAACCCACTGTAGTAACTGGATGCTTCACTACCCCTCTCTCAACCATAGATCCAGTGGGGAGGAATGCAGTAAGGGCAGAAGGGACCTGAGGAACACTGTTAATCTACTAGATCTTGTTGTCATTAACTAAACAGTCTATCCAACCACAACAGAATGCACATTGTCCTCATTCCAGGTAGAACGTTCATTAGGACAGACCATGTTCCAGCCCTTTAGAAATACTTTAATAGTCTTAAAAGGATAGAAATACATTGTCAGGTAGCAATGGGATTAAACTTAAAATTAATGGCAGCAATCTTCCTGGGAAATTCTCAAATACGTGGAAGTAGACGGTATATTTTCAGGCAACTTTTGTATCAGAAATGTCCTAAGAGAAATCTAAGACTGTTTTGAGAGAACTGAAATGGTGCTTGTGGTGTGGGTGAGAAGAGCCCACAGAGGCTCACTTTTGAATGCTTGGTCCCCAGTTGGTGGGACCCTTGGGGAAGCCTGGTTGGAGGATGTGTGTCACTGGGGGTAGGCTTTAGGTTTCAAAAGACTAGTGCCGCTTCCTGTGTTCTCTGTCTGCCTCCTACTTCTGAATGGTGATGTAAGCTCTCCACTTTTCCTGCCTCTGCCCCTTCACACTGCCATCGTGGACCCTAACCCTCTAAAACCATAAGCCAAATTCAACACTTTCTTTACGAGTTGTTTTGGTCACCATGTTTTGTCACAGCAATAGAAATGTAAATAATACAATACCTAACTTACCAAAATTTGTGGGATGCAGCTAAGGCAACACTTGGGAGCATTTATAGTATTAAAATGCATGTAATTTGTTATAATCTCCAACCAACCAAAGATTTAAAGGCTAGAGAAAGGGGAACAAATTAAGCCTAAAGCAAGGACAACAGTGTGCGAGCTGTGACATTCTGACACCTAGCTGAACTTCTCGCCTTAATAATATGACCATAAGAGGGGTCAGAAGGCAGGAACCTTCTCCCTCTAGAGCATCCTTTGGACTATGCATGTCCTGCCACAGCTCCCAGAAGCCTGTGGCAGGTGCTGTTTTGCTCCTCTGCTGATCTCTGGCAACAGGTGCCGCACTGTTCCCCGTGGGTCTAAGGCTGCCGTGGCTCTTACCACACTAAAGCTGCCTCGGAGGAAACAAGTTTCTTAACTAGTCACCAGTTATACCTTCATGAGCATTTAGCCCCTGTCCTCCAGCCATGACCACTGCCAACTCAAAAGCAGAGCAGCTGGGATCATCCATATTTAGGAGTCACCCACACCAAGCCATCAACATCCCTTCATATAGGGAGGGAACGGAAAATTGGCTCCTCAGCAGATTCCAGCCACTCCCTCCCACCCAACTCCAGCTTCATGTGATCTCAGCAGCGTGGGGTTAGGAGAGGCAGAAGGTTGACCGAAAGGGACTTCATCATCCACATCATTCAGCAACATTCACAGGGCTATGTCATCTATGCTGGGGTGGCGCACATGGAGTCACTCACCTATGCAACTCACTCACTTCTGCAAATAAGCCCAGAGAACTTACTGGTTCACCAAGATGGACTTTGATGAAATTTGGGGGCGTGGGGGTTTGTCCTTTGTGTTATTTGGAGAAAATAGATATGTGTGTAATGTCCCCAGAGAAAGATTTGCAGTAACATCTGATAAGATATGTAGGAGTCACAGAGGCAAACAACTTGCCAAGGTTCTCAGTTGGCAAGTTCACTTGGTGAACCAATGAGCTCGAAGACATCTGGCTGGTTTAACTAAGAGCTTAGCTCGGAAAAACACATTGACTCATCAGTGTGAACCAAAGTCCTGAAGATTTGTCCTGGGAGAGGGAAAATAGGAAGGAAGGGAGGATTAGGCTAAAAAAGATGGGGTGGGCTAGCAGAGTACTGAATGAGGTCTTGGAGGAGTCAAGGGAGTTTGCCTAGGCTGCTGTATTCTCCACCATGATCAGTGTCTGCTAGAGACATGTAGGATGTCTGCTAGAGACATGCAGGATGTCTATCTACACCCTTCTGACTTAGTACTCCAGGTCAGACACTACAGGTTTCCCAGAGAAACACTATGCTCATTTAACACCGACTAGGGAGAGTTTCCATGATCCTTACCCTTCCTGAATCAGTTCATACTTGACAGTTGTAAAATCATTGGGGTCAGGAGAAGCCACACAGGTATCCACGACGAGCCTCAGATTGGGATTGTGGCTGTGGAGGGTGGCCTGCAGGAAGACCTCTTCCCTCTGATGGGTATAAGGAGGAGCTCCAACCCCCATATTCTGGGATGCAGGCGACTGGAGGAATGAAATCGACACATCGTAGCTGACATGGTCCTTCTGAGTGCCACTCGCATGCACAATTCCCACTGCAGACTGGCCATCCACTTTGCAGGTGAACTTCACCTGGGGCACCTTGTGCCTCACGATGACTCGGCCAGGGTGGCCTTGAGTTCTGCCTCTGATGGAGTTGGAGTAGCTGAGAGAGCCTTGATGCTCCTGTGAGGATGAGAGAGTCATAGGTAGTGTACCTGGAGTCTTGATGCTACTCTTTATCCACGGTGGAGTCCTTTCCTTCCCATAAGAGCCAGGTACCAGCTTCATGACCTTCCTGGGGGCTGGAGTCCCTGACTGGACCACTGTGGTAACATTAGGAAGAAGTGTGTGTGTGTGTGTGTGTGTGTGTGTGTGTGTGTGTGTGTGTGTCAGGGGGTGTCCCTTGGGTGAGGACTGCCCCTTCCCTCCTGTAATAGCCAATCTGTAGAACTTTGAGCTGGGTGGCAGATCCACTATGGTTGCATGGTGCTCCCTCTCTTTTGAATTTAATGCCCACTGGAACCCCACCCCTCTGGATCTTGGATCCAGATTTGGAATTTGGATCTTGGGTCTTCTCTGCCCTTGATTCCAGGCTATATTTGGGCACAGGTGAGCCGCAGGTCTGAGCCTGCCAGCCTGGGCTCCTAGCCTTGCTTCTTGCTTGTGTCCTCCACACATCACCTCCAGCAGAACATAGAGCCTAGTAGTGAAATGGACGGCATGATGGGCAGGAGCCACCACCTGTACTTCTTCAAATGCCCTGTGTGCATGCCAGGAGCACAGCCAGGTCGGGGACATTTCTGAAGCGTGTGTGACTCAGATCCAGAGACTTTCTGCCAGGGGCCGCCTTCCTCCTAGGCAGGGGGAGCTTCTGGCTTGGCTTCAGGGGAAGGAATCTCTCAGTTAAGAAGTACAAATTTCAGAACAAAAAGAATAAAAATGACCACATTCTGTACAACCAAACAGCAGACAAAATAGAAGTGAGCTTATGTTGGATGCATCACGTGGTCGGTTTGAATGAATGCTACCTCCACAGTGTCAGGTGAGCCTTTTGCATACAGACAAACAGGGAAGCAGGAAGAGTGTCAGGAATCTGTTTTGGGTCACATCACTGCCAAATATACTGACAGGGGTGTCGTGGTGGAACAATTCTTTCACATATACATGGGTGTTCTTAATATCAATGTCATTGTTTCATGAGCTTTAAGAAGGTGGTTGCTGAGAATTAATAGACACATGTATTTAATGGCTCCAGAATATCCTAGATGTTTGCTCTCTATAGTGTGGAACATAACTAGCTGCTTAGTTATGTTAGAGACATAGCAGACAGACAACCTGTCCTCCCTCATCCCCAGCACCCTACCTTGCTCATGGTAGATACGTTCTAACATTCAGTCAAGAAGCATGTTGTGAGAACTGCTGGCTTTGAAACTGGGAGAATATTGTCAGCCCAGTCATCACCTGTCTAGCCATCACACCCAACACGCTGTCCACGCCATTGCACTCAACACTCATTCTGCATCTTCTCAGGATGTGTGTGTGTCTGAAATTCTCCAAATGGTGGAACGTCAGACAATCAGTGAGCCACTTCAGAAACGAAGCAGCTTCTTCCCCTATCTTCCACATGTTTTAACCGGAAGTTTAATTTTTCTAAGCCTCCCTTCTTGGACTCCATCCATGAAGGTCATCGCTTCTCTGTCAGCCTCTTACCTGCCTGATGGTGCCACAGTGGCCATAAGGGATATTGAAGATGAGGTAACGCCCAGTGACCTGGGGGCGACACATCCTATCATTTAAATGGATGTCCCAGGAGGAGTAGCCTAATCTCCGGAGATAACCTCGGTCAATGACAGCTTGGAAGAGGTGAGGCAAACAGGACAGCTGAGCTGCAGGAGAGAGAGGGAAGCTGGTACATTGCTGTGTAGCTCAGGGGCTGTCAGTGTGCACTACAGGCAGCACTCTGGGGTGGACTGTGCCTGCTCAACATCCCTGACTCCATGGTTCTTAACGGTGGACTGCATAGCAGATATTTACCCTACAGCTCATAACAGTAGCACAATTACAGTTATGAAGAAGCAACAAATAATTTTATGATTGGGGGTCCCCAATAGTGTGAGGAACTATATTAAAGAGTTATAGTGCCAGGGAGGTTGAGAAAAACTGATTTACTCTATCACCTTGGCTTTACTTCCAGTGGTGTGTGTGTGTGTGTGTGTTAGGAGACCATAGGTGAATGTTGGATATCTTCCTTGATGACTGTCTAGTTTTGGAGACAAGGTCTCTCATTTAACCTGGAGCTTTCTGGTTTGGTTACACTGGTTGACCGGTAAGACCCCAGGATCCTCCTCCTGTCCTCACCTCCCCAGGGCTGGGCTTATAGATGCGTACAACTGTGCTTGACTTTTATGTGGGTGCTCAGGATCAAACAAGTCCTCATGCTTGCATGGCTAATACTTTACCAACAGAGGCGTCTTGATAGCCCTGACTTTTATTGGCTTTTTAATATCCTCAAAAAAGGGGGGGGGGCTTTGAAATCAGGCCATATCAATAGGGAATCCTGCTTACAACCCATACCCCATAGGCCAGAGGTCAGAGCCTTGCACAGGAGGCTAAAGGACAACTCATGACCCCCAGTCTGAACTTGTATCTGTCTGGTCTGTCACACAGAGAAGAACCTGGAAGAAGTGTGGGCATGAAAATGGGGAGAGCCCAAGTACAAAGGGGCTTTTTCACCATCCTCCGGTTGTCTAGGCTAGTGGGCCTTCCTCCTAGCCTGCTTCTTCTCTCCACTCAGCTACTCTCTTAGTTCCTTCCCCAATCAGCTTCAGACCCCAGGAGGATGATGACTTACCATTATCCTTGGGCACAAGAGAGTCAGCGTGACCTGTTTAGGAGAGATGAAAAATGAATGTCACAGGTCTGAAACACCAGAGGACAGTCAGTCATCTGTAGACAAACCTTTGCAGCTGGAGTGTGACAGCATGAGGACATCCCAGAACATGCAACATAAAGAGACAGAGATGGAACCTGACCCAGGTGAAGTGGCGCTGAGAACACAGATGTTATCAATATCAAGATTTGTGGGGGGGAGGGGGCAATGTGTAGGAGGAGGGGGAGGGAAATGGGAAATGGGGAGGAGGCGGGATTTTTTTTTTCTTCAACAACTAAAAAAAATAAAAATAAAAATGGAAAAAAAAAAGATTTGTGGGAGCAGAAGAATGGGGATTGCAAACCCCACTGCATGGGCGAGCTCTGGTTTCTGTCTCTTTCTACATCCAAGCATGCTCAGGGCCCCAGAAGGAGAAAAATGAATTCTCAGGATATCAATGATTTCTCTGGCTCAGAATCAAGACAGGATTGTGTCCCAGGGCCAAGGCTTAGACCAGGAAATGTGCATCAAATTCACCCAAGCGCTTTAGATACAACAGATCCCTTTGGACATGGGTCATGGCTGGAATGCGGCCACCTTGGTGTACCGTCCAAGAGCAGCGTGTGGGTTCTTATGAAAAGTGGGCTTCTGAGAGGGAAGACTGAACTGCGAGGCATGAGAACAACCAAAATCTGGAAGGTGCAGACTCCAGAATAGGCAGACATAGCTTCTATTTCTTGGGTAGTGCTTGGCTTCAGGGGCTCTGATGTTGTTTCTATTTGAGGCCCACACCTATGCAAAACAGGGCTTATTCAAGGCAAAAGCAATGACCGTGGTTTGTTTACCTGCAATAAAAGTGGCAACAGAATAGATGAGGTGAATTCAGGATTCTTCAAGCCTTAGAATTCCCCAACTCTCTGAAATTGTCATGGGCCAGTTTGGGGATAACTTAGAATGATCAGAAGGAGGTACTGGACCATACAGGTGGTGGTCAGAATGCCAAGACAGACACAGCTGATGACAAACTATATCCCAGGGAAGATACAGGCAAACAACTTTGATGCAAAGGACAGAGTGAAACTGGGACACTGTGGAGGGTGTCTTAGACTCTGAGGGTTACATTAATGTCTCCAGGATGGGACCCCAGGTAAGCTCAGAGACTGGGAATGTAACAGGATAAACTGTGCCTGGCCACAGCAATTGCTATGTCTTAATAATTCTATGACATTGCCATCCCCTTCTTTAGAGCTGGGATTAGAGCAAGTTCATTATGAAAGTCAGGGCAATGATCAAAATGTCACTACCACTAGCTCTTTGTCCTAAAATGTCATGAATGGCCAAATGATGCCTGTTTTCAGGATGGGTGGTGCTGAGGCAGAACCTGGGACTTGTACAGGCCTAGGCCCCTACCTGCACAGGAGCCCCTACCTGCACAGACCACACTGGCATCCTCACGGTGGTGGCAGTTGTGCGTTATCCAGCCAGCATGGGCACAGCTCTCCAGAGAATCCTCCATGCCGGAGCAGCGCACTTCATTCATCAGGATGGGGCCTGTGCCTGCCCCAAAGTGGCTTCTGCCAGGGGCGCCCAGAGCATGACCACAGCCCAGGAGGCGGCACACAACTCGGGCATTCTTGATGTTCCAGCGGTCGTCGCATACGGTTCCCCACACCCCCTGGTGCCGCACCTCCAGCCGGCCCTCACAACGGTTTCGCCCGCCTACCAGGCGCAGAGGCAGGTCTGTGGAGTGAGAGAAGTTCAAGTCAGGTTTCTATAGTAGACACTATCTCAGGGAGACTCTTGCAGTGAGGTCCTTCTCTACACCCCTAAATTACACTTAATATGAGTATTTTTGTTGTTGTTGTTGTTTTCGAGACAAGGTTTGTCTGTAGCTTTGGAGCCTGTCCTGGAACTAGCTCCTGTAGACAAGGCTGGCCTTGAACTCACAGAGATCCTCCTGCCTCTGCCACCCGAGTGCTGGGATTAAAGTCATGTGCCACCACCCAGCTAATACCAGTATTCTTAAGAGGTAACACCTTAACAACAAAGCTGTATTATGTAATTTAGCCATTCTACCCTTATACACAGACTGAGCTCCCACAGGATTCTCCAGGAGTCGGACACTGGCAACAATCTTGGTGTTCATCCATGAGGCACTACCACATATATCTACTTTTTAAAAAAGCTTAATTTTGAATAGAAAACAATACAAAAGCAAAGCCTATACAACTGTGTTACTTAATCACGAGGATCCATCATGAGAAATGCGCAGTTAGGAGACTTTGTTGTTACACACAAGAAGTCGGCTGTGGGGTCACTAGGGCACAGTCTAAAAATTGCTGTTGTAAGTATATATGCATGTTCCATTGTTGACGGAAACATCCCTGTAGGAGGCATGACTATATTACCAGACCTGTATACACATGGCTGTATCTGTGAGGTGCCCTGCTTACAGACAGTTACCAGGTGATTTGTCTCTGTAGTAACTAGTCAGCCCTGCACTGTTTGGCCCAAAGAAAAGGCTTAGTGAATATTAAATCCACAGGCATTAGTTCTGACTACAGTGTGAGGGTCTACACTAGCTGCCCTCTCTTGATCTACTTGGTATTATAATACCGAAAGCAGGATACTTGAGCCGCTAGGAGAATGGGCCAAGGGTGCAGTTCATTGGAGAGAGTGTTAGCCCAGCACGGGTGAGATCCTGACTTGCACTGAGCAATGAGAAAAGTACAACTCATGAATACACACGGTGTCTTCTGAGGGAGGTCTGAAGGTGACTGTCAAGCCTGTGTGACCCACACTGTACATGCGTCGGCGTGTAATACACCTACAGGCTCGTTACCCTCTTCCTGTAAGGTGTAAGAAACCTAGTGAAAGAGAAATGTGATCCTGGCAGTATCAACAGACGCCTTATTATATTAGCGAGTAGAAAGAAACAAAGCCTGCCGGGCAAAGGGGTCATTGTCTCATCGACGTAAAAGATTAGAGGCTTACAAATGCGCACCCTCACAGGCTCACATTTCAGCTTCGAGCTGAAGAGGAATCTCTCTCTTATTTCAGATCCCAATAGTCGGGCATAGGAATGCAGTCCATGATGTATTCCTTGATATGATATTATGCATTAAACTGTGACAAATAGTGTTATGTTTTGTGTATTCTCCAAGAGCAAAACCAATTTGTTCAATGCTCAAAAAAGAACTTTATATGCTAATTTTTTCAAGGAAAAAAAAAACATTCAATTTTATAGGCAACTTTTTTTTTTTTTGGAGACAAAGTCTCACTTTTTAGTCCTGGCTAGCCCCTGGAACTTCTTCAATAGACTAAGCTGATTCAAACCCACCGAAACTCACGGGCCTCTGCCTCCTGAATGACAGAAATCAAGAGTGTGTTCCACCGTATCCGGCATTAGGGAACAGTTTATAAGGGCAGAGAACAAAGGGGAGGAGGATATTCCTCAGGTGCAGTTTTAAGTGAGAAAGATGGAATATTCTATTTAACTACACAGAGGGAAGCAGGGACGAAAAGTTAGGAACCGACGGCGAGATGAAACAGGATGGCATAACGCAGAGAAGAGAGCTTTACTCCAGCAGCAAGCACAGCGATCGTTACCAGGTGGCGGAGTCACTTCTGTCAGGGTTGGAACTGGGTCTGAAAAAAGAAAAGCAGTGTACAGACGGGATTGGTATGTGACTTCATTGACATTTTACATGAGACGCCAGGTCTACAATAATAGCTATTCCAGAGCGGTATGCACTTATCATGTGTTTCCACGTGTCGGCACGGCAGGGCGTATGAGAAGTTGGTGTTGTGGAACACGACTTACGATCATTCTTCTGGTGCACAATTCCAGCATGCCAGACAAGCCACTCCCTTAACTCTTACAAAGACTAATCTGGGAAAATTTATCATTGCTTTAGCATTGAAAAAAAAAATGGAGACTTCAGAGGAAGTCTCCTGTGTAACAGGAACAGGCTATTCTCAGCATAACCCTCAAGCCCCAGGGCCCCATGCTCTTTCTAACTGCTCTGTAATTTGAGAGCATAAGTGAGGATTGCATTTATGCTGGGCTCGGGGTGGTGAACTGGAAAAGAAGGAAGGTAAGGGTTAAAGGTCACTTAATGACAGACAGAACATCTGAGGGCTTATTCCTGAAGACAGAAATGACACAGGGGTCAGAGGATTCTCCAGCAAGTCCTGGGCCTTGGTAGAGAGCTGCGAACCTGGTTTGTCTGGCCTTAGATCTGTGATCTTAAGCAAGCATGCTTCCTCTCTGTGACTCCTTTTCCTCTGAAAATAAGAGATCATTTCTCCACTCTCCTCCTGGATCCTGTGGCTGAGGCTCCACTAGCTTGTTCATCCTGTCCCCAGTATCTATCTACCGGTCAGCACGGAGTTCAGTGTTATAAGCTGTGGAGGCCTGTTGTGCTCTAGGGGAGCTGACTGGCCTCTCTCATCACCGATTTCCTCTCTTCTGACTTTTCCTGGAGAAACAGGAGCTATGAACAGTGCTGTTCTGGGCCTGTTTTTGTTTGGCTGATGATGCTCAGAAAGTGGCTTCTCTGGGGGCTGCAATGAGCAGGGAACACACCTAGGGAAGAAGGGGGGCCTTAACTGAAGTGGAAAAGGGAAAAGAATGTTTTGATTTGACCAACAGTATGGTGTAAAACAAAAGAACAAATAAAAAGAATTCTTGTCACAACCTATTTGGTGTGCGTGTGTGCATGCGTGTCTGTGTGTGTGTGTTCTGCTGTGCTGGTTGGGTCGAAGCATGATCTCAAACAACACAACCAATCAAATGAGACGTGGACCCTCTGCCCAGCCTCCCTCAGCTTCATCTGATCAATACTAGGACATGGGCAGAAGGTGCCTGCCGTAGAAGGGTCACTTCAGCGTCTGTGACTGAGTGAAGAAAACATGAATCCTCTGTGGGGAGGATCTGGGGTTTCTGTGCATCAGGCTTATGTTGTAGACAAAGTTTAGGACACAGAGGTTTCATTTCCAAATGGAAAGAGCAAAAGCTTTAGTTGTGTTTCAGTTAAGAAAGGCGACAGGCTGGACAGATTCCCAGAGATCTCGGGAGCATCTCAGTGTAAACCAGAGAACACAATGCCTTAAGTGAATGTTGTTGTGTTAACATTTATTTGATGACAAGGGGATCGTTAAACAAGTTCATTTTCTCAATACAACATGATAAACAAGAAGCCCATTACAAAGTTTGAAAACAACACTGTGGACTTACCGCCTGGAGAGGTCAGTTCTGCTGAGGCTGAAGATGTATCTACAGACAAAGAGTGGAAGAGACAGAGCTAGGTTCATTTGCCAAAAGAAAGCAGAAAGCCCTGACTGTTTAACTTAAAGATGTGACAGGCTGAAAAGATACCAGACTCTACTGCTACTGAAGATGCCTCTGTGTGTAAACCCAAAGAACAGGATGTTTGAAATCCTACTGAATGACACTGGGGGCAGTTTTCACTATCTTTACTTTGTGGTCAATAGGATCGTTAAGCATATTCAGTTTTGAAATAAGCCTAATAAATAAGGCACTCATCTCTTTAGTTTAAATAGCACAATGGGGATTTACCATTTGGAGAGCTCGCTTCTGCTGAGGTTGAAGAAGTATCTACAGACAAAAAGATGAGACATAATGATGACATTTGCCCAATAGAAAGGGAAGGGTTCTCCTTGTGTTTAAGAAATGTGAAACTTCTGGATAAGATGGGGAATTAGAAGCTGTGATGTATATGCATGAACATAATTGAGGAGAAGGACTTAGTGTGCCCCTATAACACGCCGCACAGTTCTCAGACCCAGTATCCACTGTGAGCTGTATTTCTCAGAGAGTGTATCCCACAAAGGGCACTATGGGAGACTAGGTCACATGTGAACTCAGTGTGAACTGAAGCAGGAAAAGGAGCTGGTCAGCCTGCTGCTGGCCCCCAGCTGGGACACTGCCCCTGGGGCTGACCTCCTGGCCTGTATTAGCTATGAACAGTTCACAGGACTGGCACTGGAAAAGCCAATAGAAATTCTGGAAGTAAAAGAGTCTCTCAGTGAAAGCCCGGCAGAAAGCATCCCCATTGGACAAGACCAAGCAAAAGAATGAATTTCAGGGTTCTACAACAAGCTGAGATAATAACACAGCCTGAAATACATAAAGAAGAAAAATTATCAAGTATGACTCAAGTTGCAAGAGATCAAGCCTAAGAACCCATGAGATAGAAGAAGTCCCAGGAGCCACGCTCACCAGCAGAGGGACAACTGCATGCCTTCTGCTGTTCTAGACTGGACTGCCAGCCAACTCCTCTCACAGTCCTTGCCTCCCAGTCGAGGACACCACTTGCATCTTCACTCCCACCATGGGAAGTTAAATTTGAAGACAAGTCACAAAGGGACCATGGACATGAGGAAGATGATCTACCAAAAGCTGAGGAACCAGCTGTTAGAGGGATTGTCTTGAACAACTGAAAATCAAATGATGGAAAACTCTAGAGTCCAACAGCAGAATTTGTGGATTTAGATTTTGTCATTTTAATTAGTGTAAGCTTGATGTTAGGTTCAAATATCCGCATGGTACTAAAATAAAAAAGCTTGAGCTTAAGCTCAGAGATAGTAGATTATCTAGAGGTCTGGACTTATTGAGAAAGACACACTTAAATCTCACACATCTAGATCGAAGTGAAAATATATGGAAAGATATTAGCATCTTGAGACCTTTAAAACCTTGAGAAAAAAAAAAGAAAAAAAAATAAAACTTTGAGAAATCTAAAAAAAAAATGTGGATTTGCTGAACATGAGGCTACTAATCTGAATAATTACTGAGTGTTCTAAATCTCCTGTACCAACTGATTGTCACCAAGAAAACCAGTAATCCCCTGACTCAGATACAGAGTTTGATGCTGTGATCAAGAGAAGGAGGATGAAGAAGATGAGGACAGTGAGAAAGAAGAGTTTGATGAAGAAAAGAATGATGGTATAGAAGGAGAAGATGGCAAACCTGAAGCTATCGGTGAAGGAGAAGAATAAGGACATGATGGAGAAGCTGATGAAGATGAGGAAGAAAGCAGGAAAGGTGGAGAGAGAGAGGAGAGAGAGAGTGAACAGATGATGAAGGAGATTATTAATACATCTAATCACTTGCAAAAACAGAATCAATTGGTCGATCTATATTGGTGGTTTGTTTGTAGCTTTGGTAGATGTTTAGAAAAGCCATGACACAAAGTCCAGGAGACCCACCCACTCAAGGAGCCAATGAGTGCTCCCGTGACACTCTGCTCTCCCCCACTTAACCTCTCATTGGCAGTAGTGATCACCAACACCAATCTTGGAAACCCTGCTCCAACAAAACTGTAAAAGTTCATTTTTCAAGTAAGTCTCTTGCTGAAGTATGGATAGTTACCATTGTTCAGGCAACTGTGTTGACCAGTTACTCCAAGATTGTAACAACACTTTTAGTTTATGTTCAGCAACAAGAAAAGGTTTGGTAAATAAAATCTTAACCCTTGGGGTCAGGAAATAACACATGATGGAGAGAAAAGCCTTGGTCAACAAGTTTGGTGGCTACAGAAGAATAGAATTAGATCTGTACTCTCACTCTCTGCACAAAATCCATTCAAGATAGATCAAGAACCTTAAAGTAAAAGATAAAATGTGGAAATGTCTAGAAGATAACATGGGAAAATGCTTATAGATGCAGAAATGGCAACAACTTTCTGTATAGGACTCTATTAACAGAGTAATTGAATTAAATAATTTAAAAATGGGACTACATAAAATTTAAAAGCTTCTGTACAGCAAAGGAAACCATCAGCAGAGTGAGCACACAGTTCACAAAATGGGAGAAAATCTCTAGCTAACTCAGACAGGTGGCTATATTCTAGATATGTGAAGGACTTTAAAAATGAAATCCTTGGGTCCTCAAACTGTCAATCAAAGGATGGGCTGACATTGGAATAGACAATTCAACAAGGAAGAAATGCAAATGTCCAACAAATATGTTTGAAGATGTTCACCATCCTTAACCCATCAGGAAAGTACAAGGTAAGACTACTTCTAGGGCTGAAGAGATGGTCAGTGGTTAAGAACAAGTACTGCTCTTGCAGAGGACTCAAGCTCATTTTCCAGCACCCAGCAGTGCTTGTGATCTCAGCTCTAGAGATTCAACAGCCTCTTCTGGACTCAGAGAGCACCTGCCTTCACATCTTTACATACTTACATGCAGACTCATACACATAAAGAAAGACTACTTCCTTCTTGACACATTCAGAATGGCTGTCATCAAGAAATTCAATGACCAAATGTTGATGAAGATGTGGGGGAAACTCATTCGCTACTCGTGGAAGTGAAAACAGCTAGAGCCACTATGAAATCCACGTGGATGGTTATTAAAAAACTAAAATTAGAACTACCATATGGCCCAAGTATGCTACTGCTTAATGCATACCCAAGGAATCTAATCCCTAGCACAGAGAAACTTGCACATCCATGTTTAGTGCTACGATATTCACAGTATCTAGATATTCATTACCAAATGGGTGGATAATGAAAGTATGGTACATATGCACAATGGAATTTGCATTTTATTCAGCTATAATTTTATTCAGCTATAAAGAAAAATGAAATTATGAACTCTAAAAATACCCAATGGAACTGCAAGTTATTTTATGAGTTAACAAACTCAGAAAGAGAAAAACCACATTCTCTCTCATGTGCAGGTTTTAGTATATATATATGTGTGTGTGTGTGTGTGTGTGTGTGTGTGTGTGTGTGTGTCAACAGACAAAAGAAGGGCTGTCGGAGGAGAAAAGTTTTAAGAAAGAAAAGTGGTAATAGAACACGTGACAAAACAGAGAGGGGCTTCCTGGAATGGAATGTTCCACATACACTGTGTGTGGGGTGATGACAACAAAGTGTATAAAAATGACACACTGAAACTAATCACCATATCTGCCAATGTTTTAAAAAGTGCCCAAAATAAATTATGATTTTTTAAAAGAAGAAATGTGATAAGAGAAACATTACCAGAGGAGCTTGCCTCTTCTGCCGAGGATGAAGATGGATCTGTGGAGGAACCCAGAGAAGGGAGTACTTTAAAATGAGCTTTCTTTCACTGATCTTGTATTTAATGCCAAAGTGATCATTAAATAGTCTTATTGTCTAACTCTAATATGACAAATGAGAAACTCAGCCCAGTATATCCAGCAGCAGGACAAGGGGACTTACCAGTTGTAGAACCCGATTCTGCTGAGGTTGAAGATGTATCTGGAGATCAAAAGGAGACACACAACTGTATCCATTTGCCGAATAGGGGAAAGTCTGAATTGCATTTACCTTAAGAGATGTGATAGAAAGCCTTACCAGAGGATATCTCTTCTGCAGAGGTTGAAGATGCATCTGCGTACAAACAAAAAGCATGATGCTTAAAAAGACAGTCTTTTCATTGATCTTTGGTTTGTGGTTTGTGGTGAATACAACCACTAAGTAGGTTCATTTTCCAAATACAATATGAAAATAAGAAACACGGGTACATTAATGAAGACACAAATTCTTGGGGTGCAGGATATGAAATAAAACTGGCCCTGAACTGGAGGCTTTCTCTCTGCTAACTAGTTTTCACAGTGCTGGAAGGTTCTATTTAGGCAGCTGGGGGATGATAGCCATAAAAAGGCTTACTCAGCTGCGAACCTTTAATGCTATGCTACTATCGTGTTAGACGTGATGTACTCACAGGTATAAGAGTTCGTGACTGCTATAGGGGTAACCAGCTGCTTTCTGACTGGGCTTGAAGCCTTCTCCAAGGAAGGGAAATTATCTAGTATTGCAAACCTGGTCTGCGTGATAATAAGTCGCAGCAGGGAAGGCACTGCAGTTGTGTTGCTAAGTGGACACAAGGTGACTGTGAAATTGACTCCTAAATACTTATAGTTACACCTATAGGTTGGTGTTGTTTCTGGCTTTTGCAGAGAGGTTTACTTTTGCAAGGGTTTGTGGGTTTTACAGAGACTTACAACTGGTCAAAGTGCTGAGAATATGTGAATTGTATGCTTTTCCCCCAAATGAGTCTTTAATATGACCTCCCCAGGTCTCAGGAAAATAATGGGAAAGGGGGAAGAAAGAAACAGCAGGAGGAAAACTTGAGGTGTTCTAGAACATTGTCTTCTGGGCAAAACATAGATGTTGCACTCTTGTCTCTCAGGAGCTATGATTATTTACACAAGACTTGCACAAGATTGGGCTTATCATCATTCCACTGTGGAGAGAGATGCCATGAGGTCTAATCCCTCCCTGAGGATCTATAGGCAGTTAATGGTTGCTGAGGGAGAGTAAGCGGGGCAGGGAGGGCTGTCTTCAGTGTTATGGCCACTGTTAAATTGTCTGTGCTCTTTTAAGCAATCCCTCACCTATGCTTTTCTCAGTAACCGTAATTAAACCAATTAGTTTATAAAATAAAAGCATGAAGTAGAAGATAGCCTATCTGGAAAGGGGAAAAGAATTAGTAAAAGTATGAGGGGCACAGGGGAGGGAGATAGAGGTGAATATAATTAAAACACACTATACACAAGATTGAGATTATCACAGAAAAACTCATTATCACGTAAAATTAACATGTGCTAAAATTTAAAACAAAAATCACTTATTAGTTAAAACAACACAATGAAGTACATTACCACTGAGCTCTCCACTCCTCCCTTCTGCTGAGGTTGAAGACATATCTTTGAGCAAAAGGAAAAAAATGTATGTGTGATCACTTTCCAAACAGAAAGAGGAAAAATTAGGCTCTTGTTTCACTTAAGAGCTGTGATGGGGTGAAAAGATCACCAGAGGAGATCTCTGCTGTGACTAAAGATGCATCTGTGGGTGAACCCAGAGAACCGGATGCTCTGAAATGAGTCGAGTGATGCTGGGGTAGTTTTCATTCACTTATGATTAATGTGAACACTAAATGAGTTTACTGTTCAGATACAACACAAAACATAACGAAGTTCTTCATTGGCTAAGCAGCATAATGGAGGGGCTTACCATTTGAAGAGCTGGATTCCGCTGAGCCTGAAGAAGTATCTACAGACAAAAAGAAATAAATATTTGGATAATTTACCAAATAGGAAGATAAAAGGCTGTCATTTGTTTAACATGAAATCATGACAGGTAGAAAACATTACCAGAGGAGGTGTCTTCTGTGGAGACTGAAGATACATCTGGGTAGAAAGTCAGAAAATAGGGAGCTGTGATTTTAGTGTCTTGGGTTGAGAAGATGGCTCAGTAGGCAAAGCACTTGCTGCTGTGGGACAATGGTTTTACCCTGTAAAGATTTATTCCTTGTACTTGTTTAATAAAATGCTGACTGGCCTATTAGCTCAGGTTTCTTATTAACTCTTATAACTTATATTAGCCTGTAACTCTTATCTGTGTCACCACATGGCTTGGGCATTCTCATCTTGCTTCTTCTGCAGCTGGGTGACAAATGCATACTGACCTTTCCTCTTCCCAGAATTCTCCTGTTCTCATCACTCTGCCTCTACTTCCTGCCTTGCTACGGGCCAATCAGCATTTATTAAAATAATACAAGTGACAGGATAAAAGACCATTGTCCCACAGCACATCTTTTTTATAAACAAACATAATTCAAACGTAATTCCTGACCATAATTCAAAATTTTCTTTAGGTCCCCATAAGATTATCAGTGCCCACAATCAGCAGGAAGTAGCCTAGAAAACTATGCCCACATTCCCCAAAAATACATTGTGAATGTTTGCCTTTATTTAGAATGTTGGTTACAAGTTGTTATAGACAATGGTCAGGAGAGAAGCTAAACAAAGGATATTAGATTCGGAGTTCTTGTTTTAAAAAGAACAGGGGAAGTGCTGTGGGACAATAGCATTTTATCCTGTCACATGTATTATTTTTAATAAACACTGATTGGCCAGTAGCCAGACAGGAAGTATAGGTGGGATGACCAGTCAGGAAGGAGAGGCAGGGTGAAGAGAACAGGAAAATTCTGGGAAGAGGAAAGACACAGTCAGCAGTTGTCATCCAGACACAGAGGAAGCAAGATGAGAATGCCTCACTGAAAAAGGTACCAAGCCACGTAGCTAACACAGACAAGAATTATGGACTAATATAAGGTATAAGAGTTAATAAGAAGCCCGAGTTAATAGGCCAACCAGTTTATGATTTGTGTAGTCCTCTGTGTGTTTATTTGGGACTAACTGTCTGTGGAACCTGATGAGACAGAAACATCAGTCAAAAACTTGTCTTGAAAACTTGTGACTCTGAGATTAATTCCCAGAACCCATGTAAAGCTGCCTGGAGTAATGTGTACTTGCATCCTAGCACTAGGAGACAGAGGCAAGAGGAACCCTGTGCCTGTAGCCAGTCACTCTAACCTACTTGGTGAGCTTCAGGCCAATGAGAGAATCTGTCCCAAAGGAGATGGATGGTGCTCCTAAAATTGAGGCCCAACATGGTCCTCCAGCATCCACATACATGTGCAATTACACTATTGTGTACATACACTATCACAGATGCATGCACTATCACACAAGAACATAAGCACACACAGAAAATTGATATTTTTTCATTTTTAAATCTTTGCACAATGTAATCCTTAACTGGTGTTATTTTTAATACAATATGACAAACTATCTGAATATACAAGCAGCACAATAAGGGAGTCTATCAGGTGGATAGCATGCTTCTATGAGGTTGAAGCAATAGCTATAGACCCATAGGAGAATAGGCATACTTAAATTATTTTTCTAATGAAAAGTAGGGAAACTCTGATTATGTTTAAATTACTAGATGTGACAAGTTGAAAACATTACCTGAAGAGGTCTCTTCTGTTGAGGCTGATGATTCATCTGTGTGTAAACCCCAGAGAACAGAATGATTTTTTTAAAAAAATAACCTGTCTTTCATTGATCTTTGCATTGTGCCATATTATTTAAGTATATTAATTTCCTAAATATAAATAGCAAGCAAGAAAAGCTTTTCTGTTGTTAAAGGTACCGTACATTTTGCTGGCAGAACATGCAGAAATGAAGCTGTAACTGAGCGGGAAGCTTTCTCCCCATTGGCTAGCTTCCATAGACTTTGAAGATGCCATGCAAGCTGCTGGGGGAGAGCTGTCAACAGCAACATTCCTCATTGTAAATGCTGCAGGCTGCAGTACTGACTTTCCAGGCAAGATACGTCCACTGGTGTAACAGTGGCATGACTGTTGTAGGTGTAGCCAACTCTTTTCTGATTGGATGTGAGGCTGCTCCATGAGTTCTGTACCATAACGTACCAGAGGTGATGGGTTCTAGTGGCAAAGCTACAGTTGCTGTTTGGCTTAATGGATGTGACATTGTTGTCAAATTGACATCTCAGTGATTGTGTTGTGATGAGTACTGGTTTTTAGCTTCGGTCAACGAAGCTTCTATTTGCAATGGTTAGTAGTTACTGTAGAGACTCATAGCTGATCAAAGTCATGATAACAAGTAACTTCAATGCTCAGCCTTAAATTGGGCACTTCTGTTTCCTTGCCAAGATCAGGGAGTAGCAGGTAAGGTAGACAGGTTTATCATGATTACATATAAAGTTATAGTTGGTTCTAGTGATTCATACTTCTTCATGAAGAACACATTAAAAAAAACTTTAAACCAAAGCAAGTGTAAAAGCTGGAGGAAGAGATGGAGTGCTGTGGAACATTATTTTCTGGATATGGAGTGGCACAATTGTACTCTTGTGCTCTCCACCAATGTGTTTATCTGCACATGACTTGCCCAGGTTGAACATATAATCATTGTCCTGGAAGTGGGAGACTCATGAGGCCTGCCATTCCTTAAGAGTCCATACAAAATCTGATTTTTATGGAAGGAGAGACATTTACTTGAGTGGCAAAGCCACTGCTAAGTTGCCAGTACTTTCAGAAATAACCCTCAACTCTGCTTCTCCAGTAACCCAAATCAACTCATTGGTGTATAAAGTGAAAAGGCAGCAAAGTAGAAGAGGTCATTGCTGGGAAGAGGAACAGGGTTAGGAGGAGTGTGAGAAGGGCTGGACGGAACACTGGGTGTGAGTATCATTAAATATGCTACATACACACATAAAAATATCATGATGGAATTCACTGTTATATATAATTAAATGTTATTATACATGCTGAGCTGGAAAGGTTGCTTTATGGTTAAGATTGAGTACTGTTCTTCCAGGGGACTCAAGTTCATGTCCCAGCACTCACATTAGTGGCTCTCAGCTGTCTTCAACTCCAGCTCCAGTTGGATCCCAAATCTCTGGTGTCCATGGGCACAAACACTCATATGTACATAAATATATGCACACCCAATACACATAGTTAAGATTTTTTTCAAAAAAGCTTTTCATTGTCAAGACAACACTGTGAAGAATTTTTACCAGTTGCCTCTCCACTCCTCCCTTCTGCTGAGGCTGAAGACATATCTATGAGCAAAGAGAAGAGGAAATATATGTGTGATCACTTTCCAAAAAGAAAGAGGAAAAACTAGGATCGTGTTTCACTTAAGAGCTGTGATGGGATGTAAAGATCACCAGAGGAGATCTCTGCTGTGCCTGATAAGAAATTTATTTCATTTAGTTAAACAGAATATTGAGGACATTACCAGTTGGAGAGCTGGGTTCTGTTGAGGCTGAAGAAGTGTCTACAGACAAATAAAAATAAATATTTAGAGTATTTACCAAATAGGAAGAGAAAAAGGCTGTCATTTGTTTTAAGCAAAATCATGACAAACAGAAAATATTACCAGAGGAGGTATCTTCTGCGGAGACTGTAGATGCATCTGTATAGAAAGTCAGAGAACAGGACGTTTTGAAATGAATAAAATTATACTAGGGTTGGTTTTTTTCTATCATCTTTATTTTGTAGTTAATGTGGTCATTAAATAAACTTTCTGTCTAATATACCATAGCAAATAAGAAATTTCTTCACTGCGTAAACAGTGCAATGGAGTACTTTACCATTCGGAGAGCTTGAGTCTGCTGAGGTTGAAGCAGTGTCTACAGACAGAGAAAAAAGTGACATGGCTAAGTCCTTTGCCAAACAGGAAGCATAAAATCTTTGACTGTATTTAAGATATACGACAGGCAGAAACATTACCAGAGGATGAATCTTCTGCCGATGAAGATGCATCTATATACAAACCCAGAAATAGGATGCTTTAAAATTAGTATATTGAACTGGGGGCATGGCTCAGCGTGCAAAGTGCTTACCTTATAATCGTGCTACTTGAGATCAATCCAGAGCACCCACATAAAAATGCGGGGAGAAGTCGTGTGCACTGTCTTCCCAGCAAAGTGGACACAGAGCAAGGAGGATCCCCAAAGCTGGGTGTTCAGTTGCCCTAGCCTAATAGTGAGCGCCAAGAGAGACCCTGCCTCAAAGGGGGTGAACAAATCTTCCCAAGGATGACATCTGAGGTCATCTTCCAGCCTCACACACACATGCAGAACGGTGCTCGCGGGCTCCATACAAACATCCATAAGCATGTGAAAGATGAGTTTTCTTCCACTGGGCTTTGTTTGGTGGTCAATATGGTTATTAAATAGGCTCATGTTCTAATTACGGCATGACAGATAAGAAATTCATTTCATTTAGCTAAACAGAATATTGGGGACATTACCAGTTGAAGAGCTGGATTCGGCTAAGGCTGAAGAAGTGTCTACAATCAAAAAAGATATAAATATTTAGATAATTTACCAAATATGAAAAGAAAGGGCTGTCATTGTTTAATGTAAAAACATGACAGACAGAGAATATTACCAGAGGAGGTATCTTCTGCGGAGCCTGAAGATGCATCTGTGTAGAAAGCCAGAAAATAGAAAGTTGTAATCTTAGTGTCCTGGTATGAGAAGATGTCTTACGTAGTAGGTGCAGCACTTGCCTTGAAAACTTGGGACTCTGAGATCAATGAGAGACCCATCTCAAAGGATGGACGGACTGTGCTTTTGATACCCAACATTGTCCTCCAGCCTCCACATATGTGTGCCCTCAGGTGTAAGAGCATCTGAGTAACACATGAGTGCATTCACGTAAGCACGTGAGCACATGCACACAGGCGGACAGTCATGCACGCATGTGCACACAAGCATCCTTTAGTCATTGCTTTGTGCTCAGTGTGATCACTAGTAGACTTATTTTCTAAACTCAACGTGGCAAATAAGACAACTCCCTAATTAGTAAACCATTACAATGGGGGACTAATCAGTTGAAGAGCTTGCATCTGCTGAGTTTGAAGAAATCACTGTAGGATGAAAGGAGGAGATATACCTGGATTCCTTTGCCAAATAGAAAGAGGAAAATCTCTCACTGCTGAATAAGAAAATTGACAGTCAGAAAACATTACCAGAGGAGTTATCTTCTGCTGAGGCTGACGATGCACCTGTGTATAAATCCAGAAAACAAAATGCTTTAAAATGAGTGGCTTTTGTTGGTATTTATTTTGTGGTCATTATGGTCTTTACCGAGGTGCATCTTTTAAGTCCGACGTGACAAATGGGAAAAGCATCTCTATTGCTGAAAACGCCACACACTTTGCTTGTAGGACATGCAGAAATAAAGCTGGACCTTAGCTGCCAGCTTTCTCGCTGCTGGCTAGCTTTCACAGTGTTGGAAGGCACTATATAGGTTTCTGGTGAAGAACTGTCATCGGCAGCATTTCTCAGCTGTGAACCCTGCAGGCTACAGGGTTGACCTTCCAGGAAAGATGTGCCTGCTGTCATAAGAGTGACATAACTGGTATGGAGGTAACCAACTTCTTTCTGGTTGACTCAAGGTTGTCCACACAGGGAGTGGGATTTATGTCTGGTACTGTAAACCTAACCTGGAGATGTGAAAATGATTAGTGCTGAAGCCATTTCTGTTGTATTGCTAGTGAACATGGTGTGTGTATCAATTTTTCTTTGAAATGTTTACATTTATACCCATGGATTAGCACAGCTGTCAGTTTTGATCTGAGAAGCTACTTCCTGTGGTTGGTGGCTACTGCACAGACTCATAACTGGTCAAATTTCTAACAGTCAGTCAGCACTGAACGGGGCATCTGGGCATCTGTATCACCCGTTCCAAGTGTCAGGAAACGCCATGGTGAGATGGTGGCAAGAAGAAAATGAGTGTGAGGAGAGCGTGGAGCGTGAGGAGAGCGTGGAGCGTGAGGAGAGCGTGGAGCGGGAGGAGAGCGTGGAGCGGGAGCAGAGCGTGGAGCGTGAGCAGAGCGTGGAGCGTGAGCAGAGCGTGGAGAAAATAATGAGGGATAATATAGTATACAGTGTATGAAAATACTACAGTTAACTTTGTATGCATAATTAATACAGGATAATAAAGACTTACAAATACAAAACCCACGTTTCATTAATTAAAATACAACAGCACAGTGAAGGACTTTACCAGTTGGCTCTCCACTCGCCACGTCTGCTGAGGTTAAAGATGTATCTGTGCACAAAGAGACAAGGAAATGAACAAACAGAAAGAGGAGAAGCTCTGACTGTGTTTAACAAAAAATTTGACAGTCAAAAAAAAAAACATTACCAGAGGAGGCATCTTCCGTGGAGGCTGAAGATGCATCTGTGTGTAAGCACAGAGAACAGATGCTCTAACATGGGTACACGATACTTGGGCTGTCTTCACGCCCTTTACTTTGTGGTCACTGTGACCATTCAGTAGCCTCACTGTCTAAAGACAACATGGCTAATAAGAAACATCTCATTAGCTCAGCAGCACAATGTGGGCCTTTACCATTTGAAGAGCTTGTTTCTGCTGAGGTTGAAGAAATGTCTATAGGCAAAGAGAAGAAAAGGCACCGCCAGATGGTTTACCAATTAGGAGGAAGAAAAGCTGTCATTTTATTTAAATTAAAAATAGGACAAGTGGAAAGCCTTACCAGAGGAGGTCACTCCCGATGATGAAGAAGCATCTGTGTATAAACCCAGAAAAAAAAAATGAAGCTTTAAAATTAATGTCTCATGTTGGGGGATGGCTCAGTTGGAGAACCTGAGCTCAATGCTCAGGAGTTACCTAAAAACGCTGGGAGCCCTGGTGAGTACTGGTAATCTCAGTGCTGGGGAGGCTGAGACGTGAGAACCCATAAGGCTGACTGGCCAGTAATTCAGTCTAGTTAGTGAGCTCCAGGCTAATGAAAGACCCTATCTTTTTTTTTTTTTTTTTTTGATTTTTCGAGACAGGGTTTCTCCGTAGCTTTTGGTTCCTGTCCTGGAACTAGCTCTTGTAGACCAGGCTGGCCTCGAACTCACAGAGATCCGCCTGCCTCTGCCTCCCGAGTGCTGGGATTAAAGGCGTGCGCCACCACCGCCCGGCTGAAAGACCCTATCTTAAAGGAAGTGGATGATATTCTTAAGTATGACACACAAGGTCCTGTTCTAGTCTTCACATACAAGAGCACCTATGCATACACATGTACCTTCACATGTGAATAGTACACATATACTCGGAAGAAACGAGTGACTTTCATTGATCTTTACTTTGAAGTCAATGTGATCCTTAAGTAGGCTCATTTTCTAAATACATGACAAATAAGAATATTATCCCATTAGTTAAATAGCCCCTCAGGAGACTTTACCAGTTGAGGAATTCATGTTTGCTGAACTTGAAGACACATATATGAATGAAAAATAGAAGAAACCTATCTAGGGAAAATTACCAAACAGAAAGAAAAAATCTCTGGCTACTGTCTTAAAGAAATGTGACAGTCTAAAGACAGTACCTGAGGATGCTTCCTCTTCTTTGGAAGATGAAGATGCATCTGTGTACAAACCCGGAGACGGGATGCTTTAAAATGAGTATCTTTTCATGGATGCTTGCTTTGTAGCCAATATGATCATTAAGTGGATCAATTTCTAAATATGCCATGACAAATGAGGAATCCACCTCTATTGCTGAAGACACCACAGACTTTGCTTTCTGGGTATACAGAAATCGAAGTGGAAGTGAGCTGTAGGCTTTCTTCACCTAACCGGGTTGGATGGTCTTATTCAGGCTGTTGGGGAAGCACTGTCATGAACAGTCTTATTCCGCTGTGAATTCTGCATCTGATACTACTGATTTGCCAGGCAAGATGCACCCTTGGTGTAGGAGTGGCATGACTGTCATGGGTGTCACCAAATCTTTTCTGCTGGGATTTGAGGCTGCTTCCTGGGAGTCTAGTGCGGCAAACTTGCTCAAAAGCCCATGATAGAGGACATGGTAGATCTAGTGGGACAGCCAATGCTCTTGTCTTGCTACATGGAATTGATATGGCTGCCAAGTTGACACCTAAATTATTGTGTTTATGCCCATACGTGGTGTTGGTTTCTGCTTTGGTCAGAGAAGTTTCTTTTCGCAGTGGGTGGTGGTGACTGCAGAGATTCATAATTGCTCAAAGTGCTAGCAACCAAGGTCTTAAATGCTCAGCCCTAAGTGGGGCTGTGTTATCCCCTTCAAGATCAGGAAACATTGTTGAAGAGGAATTGGGTTGATCTTAAGTTTCATTTAAATTTGTGGTTATTTATTAAGACTCATGCAGCATATGAGGAATAAATGAAGAACTTGAAGAGCCAAATAGAACATGAGTGCCAGAGAAGGCTCACAGTGATTTGGCATGCCGTCTTCTGGGCATGGTGTGCCTATGGCTCTATCGCAACTTCAGCAAGCATGACTACCTGCCCCAACACCTGCACCAGATGGAGCCCACTATTATTCTGTCAAGGGGAGTGGACACTTATGAGGCCTTTCCCCTCTCTAAGTAACTGATGGCTAGGGGAGGGAGAGACGTTTTCCTCAGTGGTCTGGCCACTGCTCTTGCAAATAACCCCTTTCTATGCTCCCATAAATATCCCAATTCATAGTCACTAGTTCACACAGAGAGAAAATCCTCGTGAAATTAGAGGAGGAGATCAGTGGAGTGTGGGTACAAGAGAGGGTAGTGGGGTAAGTATAATAGAAATATATTTTACTTTTAAATGTATTTTGTGCATATATGTGTCCGAGGTCAAAATAAAGCCACACACACACACACACACACACACACACACACTTAAACGTGCTAGTAAACTCCTTCAAAAACAAGCACATCTCTTTGGCTAAGCAACACGGGAGGACTTTACCAGTTGGAGAGGTTGCTTCTGCTGACACTGAAGGAGTGTCAGTAAACAAAGACAAGAAGCAGCTTACTTACGAGCACCCTTCAAACAGAAGGATGAAAAGCACCTAGTCTATTTAACTTTAGAAAAATAAGCTGAAAGTGTTACCTGGGGGTGTTTCCTCTCCTTCTGAGACTGGAGATGCATCTGTGTAGAAAGCCAGGAAACAGGGTGCGTTAAAATGAGCAGGGAAATGCTGGCTGTTTTTTCTTCTTGGCTGATATGATCACTAAGAAGGGTCATCTTCTAAATACAACAAGACAGATAAGAAACAACACAACAGGAGGACTTTTATCATTGGAGGGGACTTGATTCTGCTGAGGTCGAAGATGTGTCTACAGACAAAAAGGAAGAGTCAAGCTTGGTTCATTTGCTTAATAGAAAAGGGGAAACATTTTACATGGAAAAAAAAACCATGGCAATCAGAAAACATTACCAGGGGAGGCCTCCTCTTCTGCCGAGGTTAAAGACATGTCTCTATGTAAACCCAGTGAGCAGGAGATTGTAGCCAGAGTGTCTGGGCTGGGGAAACGACTCAATAGGCAACACACTTGCCTTGAGAGCATAAGAACCGGAATTTGATTCCTAGAACCCACACAGAATTCCAGGCATGCTGGTATGCACTTAGAAGTCCAGCACTGGGGAGGCAAAGACAGGAGGATCTCTGGGGCTCCCTGGCCAGACTGGAGTTCATTGGTGAACTCCAGGCCAAGAGGAGACTCTGTCCATAAGGAAGTGGTTGGTATTTCTGAGAAAGACATCTTTGATTATTCTGTGATCTATACACACATGCACAAATAATGTACACATATGTGCCTTTACACAAACACACACTGAGGCTTTTGTATACACATAAGTATACATATGCTTGCATGCATACACATATGAAATGAATGCCCTTTCATTGATCTTTATGTTATTGTCAGTATGATCATTGAACAGGTTCTCTGTCTCATACTACACAATGAATGAGCAGCCCATCTCACTAAACAGCATAATGGAGACTGGATGCCCCATTGACACTGGATGGATGTCAAGGAGACTCAACGATGTGAATAGTTGTTTGTCTACAACTATCCCAGAACCAAAAGAACATTCAAATTACCAACTGGAGTGGCTATATCTGGAGCAGTTGCCAAAGGGCCTGTAAATAAGAAAAGGTAAGTGGTCAACTCCTGTTAAAGATCAAGAAAATGGAACACTGACACCTGCCTTTTATTTATTTAATTAAGTTATCTTGATAGCCAACTCCTGTGTGCCAGCACCGGGCTAATGCTGGAGAGAACATCAACAAAAACTACATTAGGATTTGAGCCCTCAGAAAGAGGCCTGTCTTATGCTCTTAAGATCAAGCATTTCATAGGATGGTGTAAAATTACAGTGATGACAATTTGTGTGTGTGTGTGTGTGTGTGTGTGTGTGATGTGCGTGTGGTCTGTTTGTGATGTGTGTGGTGCGTTTGTATCTGTTGTGTGTTATGTGAGTGGTGTATATGATGTGTGTGGTGTATGTGATGTGAGTGTGGTGTGTATAAGTATGTATGTATGTGATGTGCGTGTGGTATGATGTGGTGTGTGTGGTGTGTGTGATGTGTTTGTGATGTGTGTGGTGTGTTTGTATCTGTTGTGTGTTGTGTATATGATGTGTGTGTGGTGTATGTGATGTATGTGTGTGATGCTTGTGTATGTAGTCTGTGGTGTGGTGTGTGTGATGTGTGTATGTGGTGTGTGTGAGTGTGTGGTGTGTGGCAAAGGAGCTCCCTTCTCCCTCCTAATCCTCCCTTCCCCTTATTTCCAGTGCTGGGTCTGGTTCAATGAGACAGTCTGCTCAGACAATGACAACCACTCTCAAGCTCATTTTACCCCCTGTCATGGCCAACACCCTGCCGTCCTACCTGTGCAGTGTGGTGGGCAGAGGCCATTGTCAGGTGATGACAGGTGAGCTGCTTCTACTGAAGTGGTAGTGATGCCTGATACAAAACCCAAGGGGGAGCGTTAGTCACCTGGTGAGACGTTCTCGTCGCTCATCCCACCTTTCCTGCAGTCTGCCTGTGCTGTTGGGAAGACTGCTCTGAGGGTCGTTAGTTCATGTCCTTCTGAATAAGGGTTTGAACATCCAGATTCAAATCACACAGCCTGTGCTAGTATAAATTAAAATCTTTTCTGAGATGAAACTGCTACTTATATGATCCACTCATGGGGAAGAATATCACTGTTTGTGTTGGGATACAGTGCAGAGGCATCTCAAAGGGCATTGGTTAAGAGGGCACTTTTGCTCCATATGACTATTGTAGCATCTACTAGAATCCCTGCCATTGCCAATATGGGGCTAACCCTCCCTGTCCTTATAGCCCCCTGTCCAATCTACTTTTCTCCCTACTGTACAGTCGGTAGGATGGCCAGAGGGCCAAGTGCTGAGGGTATTCAAAAAAGCAGCAACACACTGGCACGCTGGGCCAGAGGCCCTGTGGAATGGCCTGTATGTATGCAAGCACTTGACTTGGACTTGAACTTGGTCTTGACCTGGCTGCAGAGGCCAGGCCCTCTGGGTCTACTTCTGAAATCTTGTCTATTACTTGAGATATTAGTTCAGCCAAGTGACTGTGGGGAGCCAGGAGTAAGACTGTACTGGCTTGGTGGAATTTCAACATCCTATCATCCCTGATAGGAAGGGAGTGGGAAGATGAACAGAAAGCTTACCAGCTGTGAGGACTAAAGCTGCCGCTGGGCTTGAGGTAGGTACTGTTGAAACAAGCAGGGTAGGAAATTGTAATTAAGTATCATCCTTGCCAATCAAGATTATTTATAAAAGTAAATGGCCCTGTCCACAAATGTGTCCTGATACACTCTGTTCTACTTTGTTCCTATTGGATTCTCCTCTTTTCTGTTTTGTAAAGTTAGAGGAAATGAACAGTAGCTGGAGCCAAGAGACCTGGCTCCTAGTGTCTGTGTAACAGTGTGTGACCCTGGACGAGTCCTGAATCTCCAGACTTCAGCCTCTGCATGGGAAAGGTCTACCCTGTGAATCAGCAATGTCTGTAGCTTCTTTTAGAAACACAGACTCCTGGGACTGAAGAGGTGGTTCAGTTGCTAAGAGCACTTACTGATCCAAGAGGTTTGGTTCCCAGTACCTACATGCTTGGCTCACAAACATCTGTAACTCTCTGATGGTCTCTTGTGACTTCAACCAGCACCAGACACAAACATGTGCTCATACATTCACGCAGGTGAAACATTCATGCACATAAAACAAAAAGAAGAAAAAGAAATGCAGACTCTTGGATGAAAATCTGCGTTTTTAACAGAATTCCAAGCAAGCTTTGTGCACATTAGTATTCATGAGGCATATGTTATACCAACTGAAACCTTAACCAGGTAAGGCAATCTACACACTTTGAGAAAACAGCGAAGACAGAGATCTTACCAGGTGAAGTTGTCATCTCTGTGGCTGATGCTGGAATAGAAAAGCATTCAGAAACTTAGGAGATCATTTTTACTTAAAAAGTTGACACATGAGATATATTCAAATTCCATACAAACGGCTTCTGGAATGTAGAACTAAATCAAAAGACAGATTTGCTGTTGCTTTCTAGTGTTTTCATTTTTGTGTTTTGTGTTGTTTGTTTTTTGCTAAGTTTGAATAAAAATAAGGATGCATAAAGGCAGGAAGTTAGAAATGTTCATTGGATGGGGCACAGGTTGTTCCCCTGGGATAGGTCAGGAAGGCCGCTTCTCCGGTGCAATGAAGAGGATGTGTTTTTCATAGTGGCAAATTACCAGGTGCCTTCCTCATTCCACCCTTAGACTGATAAGGCTGACTTCTCATTTATACCAAACTATGATCGTAACACAATGTTGAGTTGTCTGAACACTGGAAGAAAAAAGTCTTTACAAATATAAAGTATGTTATCATCCTATATTCGATCTTTATTCAAATTTGTTTATATTATATTATAGTTAACTGTATAAGTGATTGCAGCTCTCCTTCTGAGACACAGGAATGGATGCTTTTTTGTTCTGTAACCACATCCTCGGTACCTAGAGAACTCTGCCTGGTTCAGAGAGTGTGTATTAAATGAGCAGTCAGCACAGAGACTCTAACTGTAAGGTGCTGAGAATAAGTGAATATTAAGACTCGGCTTTAAACTGGACGTCTACACCAACCCCTCAAGGCTCAGGGGACTCTGAGGAAGAGGGACCAGAAAGAATGTAAGAGCTGGAGGGTGGCAGTGCCATCTCTTCTGGGCAGGTTATGGCCACTGCCCTCATGACTCACTGCAGTTTGATTGTCTGCACAACATGAAGCCAGCAACCTCAGTCAACACACCAGCCGGCAGCATCTACTGGACTCAGTGGATTACAGAAAAAAGAAAGCAAAAAAAAAAAAAAAAAAAAAAGGACATGAAAGGAGGGAGGGGACATGTTGGGTGGGATCGAGGTATCCAGGGAAAGTAGGATGAAGACTTTGGGGACGGATATGATGAGGACACCTTGACTGAAATTGTCAAAGGATAAATAAAATCTAAGAGAAATGTATATTAAATAAACAGACGAATGACTTAAACCATCTTTTCCTAGTCTCTGTGCTATCTAAGAGATGCTTCACCATGGTTGTTTTCATTTCATCCCATTTTTCTCTCCATTTTACTTCCTGTTGAGATGGAGAAAAGAAAATATGCATAAACTTTGTTGAATTAAACAAAGAAAGAAGAAACAGCAGGAAACCATCACAAATGAGAGGCCAAAAGGAAACAGTTTAAACGAAGCAAGAGAAACTGGATTGTGTTAGTAGAATTCTTAAGAACAAAGGGGGGGACCCATTACAAGTAGTAGGAATAACTCCTGCTGCCACTGCCAGTGGTCTCGCAGACTGCCCCAGCCACAAAACTGTCACCCGCATTTAGATGGACTAGTTTGGACCTATGCTGTTTCCTTCCCTGTCTGCCTGGAGTTGTCCTGGCTTTTTTGGAACCCAAATATCTTTGGATAGATACCTTGCTCAGCCTGGATATAGTAGGCAGGACTTGGCTCTTCTCCAAAGGAATGTCCCTTACCCTCTCTGAGGAGTGGATGGGAGAATGGGTGGGGAGGAGGTGAAGTGGAAGGGATGGGAAGTGGGAGGGGAGTGGAAACTGGGATTGGTATGTGAAATGAATAAAGATAGTTTGATTTCTTTTTAAAACATAAATTTAAAAAGAGAATTCTCAAGACCAGCACTGAAAGTCAGCCCCAGAGCTCAAAGCAGACAGCACAGGAAAATGCATCACTGTAGAGGATAGTGGACAGAGCACCTTGAGAGTCCTCAAAGACAGGACAGTCTGCAGGCTCTACGGGTAGCTCATGGGTGTTGAATCAAGCAGGGCTCAGCAAGGGAGGCCAGGTATGATCAAGTGGACTCCCACTGTCCCAGAAAGCCTTAGAACATCAAAACAGAGCTTTGGGCACAATCAGCAGACCCCAACAGGATCCAAATGTCCCCACGTTAATTTCCAGGACCTCCCCAAGAATGATTGACAAAGCCAGCAGCAGGTACCTGAGCAGATGACACTGGTGTCCTCATGGTGGCCACAGTTGTGGACAGACAAGCCTTGGTGCTGGCACTGGTCTAGCGAGGTCTCACTGCCCTGGCACTGCACGTCATCCAGGAAGATGCTCCCCACGCCCTCTCCAAAGTGGCCATTCCCAAGGGCGCTGACGCCCTTCCCACAGGCCAGCTGCCGGCATACCACGTGGGCATCCTCGATTCCCCAGAGGTCATCACAAACAGTGCCCCATGTGCCATTGTGGAGGACTTCTACTCTCCCTTCACACCGGTTCTTTCCATCCACCAACCTGATCATGAGCTGACCTGGGGGAGACTCAGAGGTTAGTTCTGTGGTGTCGTGGCCATCAGGTGGGCTTCTCTTTAGTTCTGAATACAATTTCTCTAAATCTCAGAACAGTGGGAACTCTGGCCTGATGCCTCTAGGCCCCACAGGACTACCCTGAATTAACTTCTAAAGGCAGTAACTTCTCTGATTTCTTATCTCTGGACTAAACATGTGTTATTACAATGATGATCATATCCTTAAAACCAAACCACAAAATACATAGGCGTTGGGATAAATATGTCAAAATCAAGTTTCTTTGTTTTTTTTTTTCTTGTCCCTTGCTGCAATTTCAAAGTTAAAATCATCCCATAAGCTAAGGGAAGACATGCAGTAACAGTCCATATGAATAGCCTCTCCTCCAGTCCAGCGTTCTCCTTTGCAATCCCAGGGAAGCTGAGCTCTAGTAGCCAGTGAGAGTATAGGCGATAACCTTGGGGAGGTTCAGGGTTAACCAGGAAGTCGTAAGAGGAGCAATGAGAGTATTACCAACTACGGGAGCCACTTCTGCCAAATCTGAGGCAACGCCCACAGCTGAAAGAGACAACGAGAAGCAGTCACATCAGTGGAGGAGGTTCATCTGATAAATACCACGAGCCAAGTGTGCAGGAATCCTCGTCATGTCCATGTGAGGGGGCACACGTTTGATTTGGTCATATGTTAGGAGCTAGTTCATGCCGACAATTACTGTGGGCCATGTTTCCCTCACCTGACTTATTAATCCTCACTGAGAACATCTTTCAACCCTACAGGCAGGTGACACTTAGGGCATCTGTGGCCACAAAATAGGAAATGAGAGTTTTTAATCTCCCGGTACCATAAAACTAACTCTTCAGCTATAAACAAATCAAGATAAGCAGCAAACTGATAGATTGGAGGAGACAGCCTCTCCTCAGCTCGATTTTGATACCATCTCCCCACCTCACCTCTGCCTGGCCCTCTAGGGGGTAAAGAATGAGTTGTCCCGGGAAGTAATGAAGCCTGGCGGTAATATAATTAATAACCAAACAAGGTTACAGAGGTTTTGGTCAAGTTTTTTTGAGTGGTTACATAAACTTGTGTCCTGTGGCCAGAAAGTCCCAACACTGGCAATCAGCCACGAGGAGAGTCAAGCTGCCTGAAGTCTCATCAGAGGACTCATGAGTTTGTTGCACACAGAAGGACCATTCCCAGGAGTTAAAAACTGCCCTACGGCAGGGCATCACAGTGGCTTTCGGGTTTATTATTGATTACAAGACTTGTGTCTGTAATGCCCGGAGAACAGGCTGTGACAATGGACAATGGGCCCTCATTTCTTGACACCTGGGTGACCAATACTGTTGGCTGTTGGAGTCCCAAGGATACTTGAGAGGCATGGGACCCTTGGTGCTAAAGCCAGGACAAGTTCGCCCCAGCAGGGCCCCTGTGTCCTTCTGTGTGGCTCTCCCTGGTTTGTTGCTTGGTAGGAAAGTGGAGTCCAGCAGAGATTGGGTACCTGAACAGATGGCTCCTGCATCCTCATGGTGATCACAGTTGTGCACAGCCAAGCCGAGGTGGCGGCAGTACCCTAGGTTGCTCTCTGTCCCCAAGCATCTCACGTCGTCTAGGAAGATGGGGCCAGAGCCATCGCCGAACAGGCTGCTCCTGGGGGCTGCCAGGGCCATCCCACAGCCCAGTTGCTGACATACCACTTGGGCGGCCTGTATGCCCCAAAGATCATCACACACAGACCCCCAGGTCCCATTGAAGTAGACTTCTACGCGGCCCTCACATTGGCTTCTCCCGTTGACCAGTCTCACCAGCTGCAGATCTGCAGGAGCCAAGGGCCAAGTCAGCTGAGGGTCCTTCCATGCTCAGAGGGAACAGTGCATTACACTAGAGTGTCCTAGCCTGGTGTGCAGCCAGCTGTTGGGGTAGCACTTGTCTATGAATGGCTATGCTGGTGTGGAGACCTATACACATATACAAAGGAATACATATGACCACTTTCCTCCCTGGAAATTTCATGTGTTTCTATTATGCTGGATTACCCTCTGGACACTTTTGTTATGGGAATAGAGGTCACAGACTAGCATTGAGGTAAAAATACCATGCTCCCATGAAACAGTTTCTCTGGTCCACTTTACCTTTCCTTTTTTTTTTTTTTTTTTTTTTTGGTTTTTCGAGACAGGGTTTCTCTGTGGTTTTGGAGCCTGTCCTGGAACTAGCTCTTGTAGACCAGGCTGGTCTCGAACTCACAGAGATCCGCCTGCCTCTGCCTCCCGAGTACTGGGATTAAAAGCGCGCGCCACCACCGCCCGGCTACCTTTTCTTTTGAGATAGGAGTCTCACTAATTTTCCTGGCCTGGCTAGATCTCAGTCCCAGCAGGCTTTGAACATACAGTCCTCTTGCCTTAGTTTCTCTACAGCTGGGGTCTCCAGGCCTTGGGCCGCCTGCTCAGGGCTCACCGTTTTCAGGGCCCTTTCCCATTATCACTTTTTGAACAACTGGAAACAACGCATCTGCAGGCCGAGGGTTGAGATTGTATTTCTAACCTGGTTCCCTCAGATAGGACTCAATCTACAACATAAAATTAGATGCTTAATACTTGACTCTAGAAAACCTAAGGTCTCTATCGGAGATACAGCATCCCCGAGGCCAGGTGGGAATTAATCAGGAAAAAGACCCTCTGAACTGAAAGTGATGAAGTGGATTCTCAGAGTCGGAACCCTCAGAACTGGGGTGGGCTCTTTCCCAGGGCTGACTAGAACCTGGCCTTTGAACATCAGATTCTGCAGTTGAGATGGGCAGGTAAATTGGCTCTCTCCTTGAAAAGACCCTCATAATAAGATTAGCAACATGTCACATGCTTGAATAAGCTTCTTTGCCATGTAATGCCAGGTCTATAGGCCATGGAAATAATGTTCTCTGAGTGTGTGTGTGTGTGTGTGTGTGTGTGTGTGGTGTGTATGTATGCACTTGCACGTACCTGTATAGGCTAGATTAGATGTCACCCCAAATTTATGTTCTTCTGGGTGCCTTCTACCTTGTGTTTTTGAGAATATAAAGCCTCTTAATTTTACCTGGAACTGGCTGATTGGGCTTGACTGGCTGGCCAGCAATCCCCAGGAAGCTGTCTGTCTCCACTTGTCCCAAATTGGCATGTGCCACCATGCATGGGTTCTGGAGATGAACTAGACCCTGTGTCTGCATGGCCAGCACTCTACCTACTGAGCTGTCTTCCCAGCCTTGTGTTCTGTTAGGCACAAACAGCCTCAGAACAAAGAGTCCCAGACTGTAAGGATAGCGAAGTACCTATTGGATGGAAACGGTGCGGATGTTCCTCAGGAGCTGAAGTGGCTGTACAGGTAAGAATGGGGGGAAAAGTCACCATAAATACATCCTAAGCGAATGAAAGGCAAGCTCATGTCCTTAAGTGCCATCTAAGCCACATAAGTGAGTTTGCCTTTAAGCAACCCCTCTGAGTAGCTGATCAGATCGCTTCTGTTTCAAATGCAGCGGTGGCTCAGGCCTGTGTGTGTTTACATAAGAACGAGGCGTGAAGTTCATCTTGGGATCATGAAGCTGTGGCCTCATAGCAGGGCCTCATTCTCAGTCACCCAGTTCCTGTGTGTAGGCTGCAGACTGAGTAGGCGTGCTTGCCCTCAGTGTCACCTTCCTCTAGGACCAGCTGCCCCCTTGACCTCCCAAGGCCTCTGCTGCATGAACATCTATCTGGGGTCAAAGGCTGGTATCATGGCTTCCTGCTGAAATGTGGTATTCGTGTCCAGAAGGGATGGCACACCAATCTGTTAACACCCAAAACACCTTTCCTCTGGGTGCATGGCAGGTCCCCAGGGACAGGGGAACAGCAGTCTAGATTTCAGAGAATCATTAAAAAAATAAAATAAAAATAAAAACTCAGAAGAGAGACCCAGTGTGGAAACCCTATGCTAGTCACCGGGCAGGAAATACAGTGTTCATGAGCTCATAGATACCTGGATGTCCGACAGCTTCAGAATCTGTAGAGAAAAAGGAAACATGAGATGGCTATGAGAAACCACAGTGCTGAGCAGCAGGAAGGGCATGGCGTCTGTTTAATTATAGTTGAAGGAAGCTGGGGGTGAGCAATCCTTCTTAAGCATCCAAGGCTGCGCCCTTTGCTCTAGGATGTCACTTACCTAAAAACCCGGCACTGAATTCTGATAGAATGAAACTTAGTATAAAAAAAAAAATTACAGCTAGCACTTTTCTGTATTTTATGGTTTCTTAGATACTCGCCTAAGCATTGTATGTGTGTTATCTTGTTAATGCCTGCCAACTTTATGAGGCTAGTACTATCATTTTCTTTATTTTATGGCCAGTTAATCTCTTCAGACCTTCAGCTTGAAAACAGCCACCCCAAGTATTGCAAGAACAGTTTTCAGTTTGGGCAAAGAAGCCCACCGCCCTGCCCATGGAGGCAGGCTTGAGCTGTGCCAGCCTTCGGGCTTGGCTTGGGGAGTTCTACAGCTGGCCTAGGATGGGCCTGCTCTCACCTGCACAGATGACACCAGCATCTTCCTGGTGCCCGCAGTTGTGGGTGAGCCAGTCGCTGTGAGGGCACTGTGCCAGGGAAGACTCCCTTCCTGTGCAGTTGACATCATCAAGGATAATGCTGCCTGACCCAGGGCTAAAACTGGTGCCTGGCAGGGCAGATAAAGCTGGACCACAGCCCAGCTGTCTGCAGACCACATGGGCATCTTCTATGGACCAGTTGTCATCACACACAGTCCCCCAGGTGTTGGCATAGTACACCTCAACTCGGCCTTCGCACCTTCTTGTCCCGTTCACCAGCCGCAGATCCAGACCTTGGTGGGTAATCCAAGACATTCCCATGAGTGTTCATTCCCAAAGACTGCCAGAAACAGCAGCTGTTTCCTGGGAGTCGTGCAGTGACAGTCAAGGACAGCAAACCCACTTCCCTTTCATTCATTTCAAATCATTTCAATTCTTGTCCTTGGTTCCACTCCGTGTGTTTTAAAGACCGTGTTTGGTAAAGAAATGATTATTTCATGGCCTGCTGGACCAGGAAGTAATCACAAAGTTCTTTTATTTTTATTTTTTTTAATTTTCCATGAAAAGCTATGCTAGCTGGAGTGTGTGTGTGTGTGTGTGTGTGTGTGTGTGTGTGTGTGTGTGTGTGTATTAAGGAGGGAAGATAGCAGTAGACACCAAGATCCAGTGTGCCTCTTGTGTCAAGATGTTCCAGGGAATAAGGACAGTCGTTGCATGCTGATGCCCATATTCAAAGGTTCTCAGAAGAGAATAAAAGGTCAGAAGGTGGCCAAGTTATTTCCTAAGTAGAGCTTGGTAGGGACAGCAAGTCACCCTGAGCCTCAATAGGAGCCAGCTTCCACACCAACCCCCTGCGAATTGGTCTTGCTTCTTGCGGTATTCTTGCCCCAGATTTTCTACATGGGCCGGGCATTCCCAGTCCTTCTTCCAGTATCAGCCATCAGCAGGGCCAGCGTGAGCTGGGAAGGAGGGTGGGAATAGACAAGGTCTTCAACAAGGACACATTTCCCCCAGTCATGCTGGGATCTGGGCTCAAACACTACAAAGGAAAGGCAACTGAGGAGAGAAGAAAAGGTTACCTGTTGAAGTGGACACCTCTGGCTGCTTTACCAACAATGCTAAAGATGGAAAGAAAGCAAAAGAAGAAAATTATACCACATCTTTGTTAAGTGTCAAACATCTTCAACCCTTGGTCAACTTCTAGTGGGCTCTCCACCTTCGAGACTAGCGCTTCTAAGTACATCCCTTCCAGTACATCTCTCTGTAAAGAGTAGTCCTTCCCTTCCTCACTCAACATGTACACAGTGAATACAAACTTGTCCATAATCCAAAGAAAACCAGAGCCTGGGGATTAACTGATTTTTTAAAAATAGACACAGTTTAAAGACAACAAAGCATCCTTTGAGGACATCTGACACCAGAATATCTCAGGATGACACTTCCTCTAAAGGCTTGGGACTTCCTTTCTCCCGATTCTTCTCTGCATGCTGAACTCTGTTCTTAAAGACCTGCCCTGAAGAGCCACTGACTAAGTTTGAAATGAGGCAACTACTAGGTCCCAAAGAGCCAGGAGCAAATGAAAAAGCTAATGCTTTTGGCTTCTTTGTTCTTTGTTCTGCCAGGTAGAAAGCAGTGTGCAGAGGGAAATGCTGAAAAAGCTCTGGTCTTGGGAGTATTTTTATGCACTGTGACCACAGGAAGAGTCACCTATATGATGTGTCTGTCTTGCTAGTTGGTTTGGTTTTGTAATTCATATTTTTAATGTATTAATCAGTGGACCAATTAGAGACAAGATCCCACATAGCCCAGGCTGTGTAACTGTTGTGTGGGTACTTGGAACTGAACCTTGATCCTTTAGAAGAGCTGCTAGTGTTCTTAAACATTTAGCCTATCCAGGTCCTATCAAATTTTCAAAAAAAAAAAATTCTGGTTCTGACAATGATTTCACTGCAATTACTTGTGGTGGTTTTATGGTTCTCATAGGCTCATATGTTTGAATGATTGCTCCCTTGCCGGTTGAAGTGTTTGGAAAGGAACAGGAAGTATAACTTTGTTGAAGGAGGTATGCCCCTGGGGACAGGCTTTGAAGTTTGAAAACCCTAATTAACTCCATCTGCTTCTGTGTGGATCAAGATGTGAGCTCTCAGCTACTGCACCAGCTCCATGCCTACCCGCCTGCTGTCATGCTCCTCACCATACTGGTCATGGACTCTAGCTCCTGGAACTATGAGCCTCAAATAAATTGCTTTCTTTTATACGTTATTTTCGTCAGGGGTGTTTTATCATAGCAATAGAGAAGTAACAAAGACACTGTATCCGTGTTTAAATGTGGTCTATTTGCAGGATGTGGCCCTGGCTTTCTGTTTAAGCTGATGAAGTTTGAAGCTTCCTTGTAAAAGAAACTCGCATAGTAAAGATTCAGATTAAAGGAAATGACAATTAAAATCATACCTTGACTAGCAGGGGGGTAAGCTGAGAACAGTGGCCTGGGACTATCCTAGATTTCCTTCCTGATTTATGTGTGGTGGCACAGGAAACTCCCAAAACTGGAGAGTCATGAACCCATCAGGCTCAGAACCCAGCCCACCTGAGCAGATGACACCAGCATCCTCATGGTGGCCACAGTTGTGGGCAAACCAGCCACTGTGCAGACATTGCCAAAGTCTGGCTTCCGTTCCCATGCATTCAACATCATCCAGGACAATGGGACCAAGGCCTCGCTCAAAATGTGCTCGGCCAGTGGCTGCCACAGCTCCTCCACAGCCCAGCTGGTGGCACACCACCTGGGCATCTCTTAGGTCCCAGCTGTCATCACACACTGTGCCCCAGCTGCTGTTGTAGTAGAGCTCCACACGGCCTTCACATGGGTGGCTGCCATTTGCTAGCCTGAGTGCCACATCTGGAAAAGCAGAAAGCTGGGTCACTGCCCTGAAGTTTCCCATGTTGATGAACAATGAAAGTAAGGAGGACACGTTCTCTGCCTTGGTTCAACCCTCACACTGGGGAACTGGGGAGGGCAACTTATGGGTTAAAACTGGCTACTGAGCACGCCTTTAATCCCAGCACTCGGAAGGCAGAGGCAGGCGGATCTCTGTGAGTTCAAGACCAGCCTGGTCTACAGAGCTAGTTCCAGGACAGGCTCCAAAGCCGCAGAGAAACCCTGTCTCGAAAAACCAAAAAAAAAAAAAAAACAAACATAAAAAAAACTGGCTACTGAGCACCTTGAACTTGATGCAAATGTGATATTTGGCCCAGGGGATGGTAACATCCCCCTATACATCCCTGGGTTACTTTTATATTTCACAGAGCTCAAAGAAGGCTTTCAATAGCTTTCTATAGTGTGCCAATAATTGGGCATGGAAACACTATCACTCCACCATTTGTGGACTCATTATTAACATAGTTTTGAATAGAACAGGTTCTAACATGGGGCTAGCTGAGTCACCTGTCTCCTAACAGTTCTAGTCTCAGAAGATGTCTGCCTCTATGTCCAGAGCAATGTGCTCAGCAATAAACCACTCCAACTCACATCTCAGGAGCTGTGACTGACCAGAAGCTTGGGAAGCATTCCCAGATGGTGCAGGACAATTGCCTATATTCTGTCAATTATGTTTTAAATAAAGGCTGATTGGCCAGTAGCCAGGCAGGAAGTATAGGCAGGGAAACCAGACAGGAAGTAGAGATGGGACAATGAGAACAGAATTCTGGGAAGAGCAATACCCATTCCTCTGCAGTCCTGCCCAAACACTGAAGAAGGAAGATGTGACCTACGCTGCTGGAAAAGGTACCGAGTTATGTGGTTAACATAGATAGGAATAATGGGTTAATATAAGTTATAAGAGTTAATAAGAAGCCTGAGCTAATGGGCCAATCAGTTTATCATTAATATAGACTTCTGAGTGATTTCTTTGGGGCCAAATGGCTGTGGGAGGACAGAAAACAGGCAGGACAGAAACTCAGTAAACACTCAGATCCCTAGCTCCCAGCTGAGAGAATGTCCATCCCAGTGCAGTGCTCAGATCCCTAGCACCAGGCTGACGGGATGTCCATCCCAGTGCAGTGCTCAGACCCCTAGCTCCCAGCTGACAGAATGTCCATCCCAGTGCAGTGCTCAGATCCCTAGCACCAGGCTGAGAGAATGTCCATCTGAGTGCAGTGTCCACACCAAGTAGGACCAGAGCTGAAATGATGAAAGGACCTACCTGGGTCTTTCTCATCTTGCAACAGAGACTCATAAGATGCATAGAATCCTAAGTTGGTGACAATGTCATCACTGTGGAACACCACACTCATGTGGCTTGAAGAAGAGGTAAATACTGGGATGGTTTCTGAGCAGAATCTCCCCAGGGAAAATGATTCGCTTTGTGGACCATCAAAAATCTCAATGAAGTCATAAGGGCAGCCATAGAAGTTTTCTATCCTGTGGATGAAATGGCATCATTCAAGCTCCTTTCCTTGGCCTTTTTCTCCAGAAGTGACTTCGCAGATGGCTGCAGGAAGGGTCAGGAAAAACTATTCACACCTCCTCCGACAGTTTGGAAGAGCGCCTGGCCCTACTGATGTGGATAATTGTACCTTTCTACTTCCAAATATATTCTTTTAGTTTTGTATTGAAGAAAAATATTTTCACACAACTTGTTCTGGTCACATTTCCCACTCCCACCCCCAGTTCCTCTCCACTTTTCTTTCTCTATGCTTTTTCTTTCTCTCTTTAAAAGAAAAGCAAGCCAGGAACAAACAACATACACACACATACACACAAATATAACAATATATACAAGCAAAACAATACGCCAAAGAAATGTCTAAACAAAGCAATTGGAGACAAAAATCTACAAAAATATCATTAAATTCATTTTCTTTTGATTTGTTCAAGTTTTAATTCAATATCTTTTCAATGTGTGCTATAAACTCATGGAATCAAATTTAAGTGATAATGATGGCTTATGGAAGGAAGGAAGGAAAATCTCCCATCCCCACTGATCCCTCCGCTTTAACCCTCTTCCCAGAAGCGGTTCTTTTTCCTTCCACAAGAAGTTTACACAAGGATGGTGGCAGATTTGACAACTGTCCACTGTTTTCTTGCATCTCATTCTGCAGCAATACTGACTTAGTCTTTGAGTTACATGCGGCTGTACCAAATATCTGTCTAGCAGATCTGCTGATGGGCAAGTAGATTAATCCCAATCTACTGTTTCTGTATGAAAGCTACAGACTTTTGATCAACATTCCTAGGCATTTCAAAGTACAGCTCATTTGGGAGAATTATAGCTTTTTATGTTTTACAGAATATTTATACATGTATGTACAGTGTGCATCCAGATTGGCCCAGTTCCTTCCCTTCAGTTCCTCCACTAGCTCCCTCCCAACATCACAGGCTCTCTTCCTTTACATTTTTACCTCTTTTTTGTTTTGAGACAGGTCTCCCAATATAGCCATGGCTGGTCTTGAACTCACAGAGATCTGCCTGCTTTTGCCTCTTAAATGCCAGGATAAAAGGTATATGCCACCACATCCATTTTTATTTTAAATTTGCTACCAACTGAATCCATTTTGTGATTTCTGTGTGCACATGGGTATGGGATCTTCTACATGAGTGTGGGTAATCTCTCAGTGCCTGTATCCCCAAAGAAAATACTCTTACTCTTCCAGTAACGACTAATTGCCAATAGCTTCTCAGAAAGGGGCGGGACTTTGTGCGTCCCTCACTCATGCATGTTGGGACTGTGGCTGACTTGATATTATTGGTCTTGTACCTGAAGTTTCATCTGTTAGGAGTTCATGTGTGCAACTGCATTGTTGTGTCCGGCAAAGAGGCAGTAAAACTGATGTCTACAAAGCCAGGTAATGATAACTGTCTAGGCGGAAAATATTCACTCACTTGACCACTTCAAAGGTGAGTCTGATGTGAGCGCTGCTATCCACTTGTATGTCCCAGGCACATAGCACATTGGTGGGATATTTTTTAGGATACCAAGGACTGGAGAAGGTGCCTGAACTATTTGTGAGCAAACCACCACATTGGAAATTTTCATCTGTAAAAAAGTGAGAAAATATCATGAAGAAACATGGTGCTTTTTGTTCTGTTTTTAGCAAGGTGAAGAGGAGACACAAGAAAGCAGAAGGAAAGAAAACAAGCTGAGTGTAGGGGGTGCACACCTATAACCCCAGCACTGAGACTGGATCTCAAATGTGAAGTGGGTATGAGCTGTAGAGACGGAAGAAAAACAGCTGTACCAACAAAGAGGTGTAAGGGAGACTTAGCTAGGACTGCTTTCCTTTTTTGTTTTGATGTCTTTTTTCTTTGGAGAGAGAGAGAGAGAGAGAGAGAGAGAGAGAGAGAGAGAACATGCGAGTGTGTGTGTACATGTCTGTGGAGAACTGAAGGCACTGGGTCCCTTGGAACTGGGGTTACAAGAAATTCTAAGCTGCCTGATACAGGTGTTAAGAATACAACTGAGGTCCTCGACAAGAACAGCAAGTACTCTTAAATGATGAGTCATGCCTCCATCCAGAAAAAAAAAAAAACTCTTTTTTGAGACAGGCCTAAAGTGGTTGAGGAACTATACAAAAGGATCATAGCCCAGGACAGTTGAGATTCAGGAATTTACTTGACAAAAAGAAATAATTGGGATGCTATTAAACTACTCTGACTTATCAGTTCCTACATAAGCAAACCAAAGTCACTCAGTATAGATTGTAAGAAGTAACAGGAAACTGCCAACTCACCTGTAACTAGGAACTTCCCACTCTAGTTCCTAGGAAGACATTGGTGCACATTCACCAGGCAAACATTGGCCTTGCCTCCAACCTTGTCCTATCAAAGTCTGGTCTCTTAGTGAAGCCCCAAATAACCCCAGCTAGCAGCTTCTCAACTTAAAATAGTTATCTGCTCAGCACAAACTCTTTCAAGTTCCAACGCACCAAAGCTTATCTTTTAATAATTATATACAAATTGGAGCTGAAATCAAAACCAAGTTGAATTGTGCAGTTAGTGTCAAACTCTTGGATGTGGTGTGTGATTAGCTGTAGACTCCTATAGCAGCTTCTTATGTATTAAAATATGAGAGAGCATCAGCCAGAGACAGGACGAGTCCAGTGGAAGAGAAGCCCATACAAGAAGAGCTGCAGTACCTGTCATGACGTCACTGGAAAAATCTATAAAAAATGCATAGAAAAAAGGGTCATGATCAAGAATTTGTATTCATATTTAATTATTTTTCTTAAAACATGGAAGACTATGTGCCCAGTGAGCAGAGTGCCCAGTGAGTTCTTGACTCTTAGGAGCTTGCAATTTGAACCTCAAGAATATGAACAGGGGCCTCTGCAGACAACCGGGAACTGCTGGTTCCTTGCTCCATCTAGAATCTCATGACATGATCACCACTGCCAGAAGCTGGTTGGTCCTCTCTCTACTGAACCAGTACCCAAGGTATTTCATCTTTGGTGGATCTGAGCCCTTCCCTTACTCTCTCTCATCTTCCCACCATCTGCAGCAGTTCAGCATCACCATATTGTCACTGTCATAGGTGTTGAATAGAAACAGAGTATCTAATTGGCCGTCCCCATCTAGCTTCAGAACTTGAACGGTGGCTGCGATTTTCACCCATGAGGGCCCTGGCAACTGAGTACATATATTGACGGGCAGTACCTGCTGGTCCTCTGCTTGGTGTGGCATCAACACCTATTCAAAGACAAATGTCAGGGTGAGAGACAGATTGAATAAGGTGGTCACATAACTCCCCATAAAAATCAGGCATTTTGTTTAGGGTCAGACATGTTCTGCTCTGGGCCACTGGGAAAGTAGAATTAAGACTCATCCAGGCTAGTGAGGGAATCAAAGAGCTGGAGTGAGGGAGCACACAAGGCCCCTGTGGTTCAGGTACAGCATGGTGTTTGTTTGATTTTGGCCAATAACTGGGCTAACAGAGCCTCTGTCACAGAGATGAGTTCCATTTTTAACCAAGGACCCAGCCAGGCAATACTTAGAGAATGTGGTCCTGCATGGGGGTTGGATATGCCTTTGAGGGCCTGATCAGCTGAGTACAGATGCCCTCATCTCTACATTAGCTGTGGGAATGAACTGAAAATTCAGATTCACTGGTTGTAGGACAGTCTGCCATTCACAGAACCCTTGGTGGATACTGGATTGCTCCCAGCACCCAGGCCTGCCAGGCCAGGTATAAGATGTCTGCTAATACTAACCATTCATATAATTGCTATTTTCCAGGTGAGATTTTGAACAATTTACAGATGCTGGAATCTATGATCAAAAACTAATTCTTAAGTAAATTGATTTTAAAATCGGCTCAAATCCCAGATTTCATTGCTGACAGCTTGCCTGCTGGTATTGACATCCTCCTTCCCAATGGCTGGGGTTGGCAAAACTCTGTCTCTGAGATGTGATGCAAGCCTTGCCACTCACCTGAGCAAACCACGCTGGCATCCTCATGGTGCCCACAGTTGTGGGAGAACCATCCGTGATGTGTGCATTGCCACACCTTGGCTTCATCCCCCATGCACTGCACATCATCCAGCATGATATGGTCCATGCCTCTCTCAAAGTAGCTCTCAGCTGGGGCTGACATGGCCACACCACAGCCAAGCTGCTGGCACACCACCTTGGCATCTGTCAGGTCCCAGCTGTCATCACACACTGTGCCCCAGGTACCATTGTAAGAGATCTCTACTCGGCCCTCACACCTGTGGCTACCGTTCACCAGTCTCAAGGCCAGACCTAGGAAAGTAAAAATAAGTGCTTCTGAGATGCGACATTGTCCTCAGATAATAGGGCCATTTGTAGGTTGATAAAAAACGTTCTCCATGTTGGACACTAGGAGTGGCCCTGTGACCTGATTCTCTAAAATTGTATTGCTTTATGAGTACTGAAGACCTATTGAAACCTGTTAGTATTTTAAATCTCTCTACACCCCCACCCATCTGTGTGTGTGTGTGTGTGTGTGTGTGTGTGTGTGTGTGATTGTTTATGTGAGTGTAGACACATGTGTGGAGCTCAGAGGACACCTTTGGTTGTTGACCTTTGCCTAGCTTGAGACAGACCTCTTCTTCATCTCTGAATGAATCCAGTTTACACCAGTCTAGCAGGCTTATGAGTTTCTGAGAATCCGACTGTCTCTGCCTCCCATTTCACAGGGATTACAGATATGTGCTACAGCACCCAGCTTTGTGGGTTCTGGGGATCTGAATTCAGGATCTCTATCCACTGAGCCATCTCCCAGTCCATTATTTGAGAGTCTCATAAGCTCCCAAAGATCCCAGTTGGAGGAAAACGTACATTAAGCATAGAGAGCTCTACAATGTTCCTGCTCCTGCTCTGGGACCTGAGAGGCCCACGAGAGCTCTGGAGACTGTGTGCCGAATCCAGTCAGAAGAAAGTCGGCTGACTGTGACAGTTCATATTATTGTTATTGTTTTCCTTCCTTTGGGAGGGGAAGGTCTCAGTGGGATTCTCCATCAGGACCACAGACAGTATGAGACAGGCATTCTCTGCCTTATGTTTCTAGATGCTTTAGGTCGAAGGCAGGGACTGTGGGTGGCAGAGCAGGGGTAAGGGCTATGACTGGCAGTGTGCGTGCCACTCAGCAGCAGAGGTAGACACGTCCGGTGTGATAGAATTCAGGTCGTATTTTAAAAGCGTGTTCTCTTCAAATGGGAAAAGTCACAGCCCAATGGGCATCTTGCAAGGTGCTAATCAGGATACCCACCGTTCTGCCTTTCGTCTTGGTGAACAGTGTTGTACAGAGCATAGAACCCTGTGTTGGTGACCATGGCGTCACTTTTAAACACCACTGTCATGGAATTGGAAGAGGAGAGGAAAGTGAGTTCTGCCCCAGCACAGACTTTGCCCATGGACAGTGAGGCAACATGCTTTCCATCAAACACTTCGACAAAGTCATAAGGACACCCATAAATGTCTTCTAGCCTGAGGGGACAAAGGCAGCGTTAGTCTCCTCAGATCAAGTCAGTTCTGCCAGCTCCTCCCTCCGACCTCCTCACGTCACCTTTAAGAGTCCCTGAATCTGCCCCTCCCACCTCCCACTTCCCCTTGACTGTCCCGGTCTATCAGATTCTGGTCTCATCATCTATTTTGGGGGCCTCCATCTGGAAGCCTCTCTGAATTCTTTCCCTTTACCCTAAACATTTTTTTTGATGTCCCTGACTCTTCAACTCAAGCCCTGCTTTGGGTGATATCCAGTTTCTGTCAGAGACTCACAGGAAAACGCTCAGGAAGACCCTGATGGGGGAGATAATCACATTCTACAGGCCCCTAGTAGAAGGACTCATCTCACCAATGTCCCAAACTGCCCACATTTTTGTTAACCAGGGTGATGAGAGAACTGTGCCCAGCATCCTGCCTGCTCTCTTCTTCTGCCTTGACCCTAGCCTAGCTTTTTTAAATTTTATTTTATTCATTTTTATTGAGCTCTACATTTTCTCTGCTCCACTTCCTGCCTCTCCCCTTCTATTCAACCCTCCCCCAAAGTCCTCATGCTCCCAATTTTCTCAGGAGATCTTGTCTTTTTCTACTTCCCATGTAGATTAGATCCATGTATGTCTCTCTTAGGGTGCTCATTGTTGTCTAGGTTCTGTGGGATTATGATCTGTGGACTGGTTTTCTTTGCTTTATGTTTAAAAACCACGTATGAGTGAGTACATGTAAAAATTGTGTTTCTGTGTCTGGGTTACCTCACTCAAAATGATGTTTTCTAGCTCTATTCATTTGCCTGCAAAATTCAAGATGTTATTTTTTCTGCTATGTAGTACTGCATTGTATAAATGTACCATATTTTTTTACTCTAGCCTAGTCTTACAGGTGTTGATTACTCTGACTTCACAGCCCTTGCCAACTTAGTACTACCTGAAAATGTCCACTGAGTTCATGGTTTCTTTCAGAAGTGTTAGTCTTTCCATTTGGACGTAAATTCACAGCGGCAGAGGGTTTATCTGTTCCTTTCAGCACTCTAAGCCCAGTCCTAGACAGAGCCCTCCCAGAGTGGGAACAATCAATACATATGGAACGCACACTGGTGCTTATCTACCATAATAAATGTTACACAGCATGTAACATGACGTGTAATTTCTGAACTATAGCAAGTAGGTGTCTGTGCTTCTGTTATAAAGTCACATTGCAAACACATATGCGCAGATGGTGTAGGAGTTCCTTCTGTTTGTGTGTTGCTTTCATTGGGTAATGAATAAAGAAACTGCCTTGGCCTACTTGATAGGACAGAACTTAGGTAGGCATAGTAGACAGAACTGGATGCTGGGAAGAAGGGCAGAGTGGCAGATGCCGTGGATCTCCTGCCTGAGACGGACACTAGTTAGAATCTTGCTGGTAAGCCACAGTCACATGGTAATACACAGATCAATATAAATGGGTTAAATTAAGATGTAAGAATTAGCCAATAAGAAGTTAGAGCTAATGGATCAGGCAATATTTAAATGAATACAGTTTCTGTGTGATTATTTCAGGTGTAAGCTAGACAGACGGCCGGGAAAGACAAAAGGGCCCATTCCCCTGCAACACCCAGATATATCCCACACACACAAGGGACATACTTTACACACAAATTTGGGACTAGATTTTAAAATCTGCCATTGTACATCTATCCCAGTGAAGTAAAAACCAAACAACTAAAACTAACACCTTTTTGTTTTGTTTTGTTTTGGTTTTGAGATAGGATCTCTCTATATAGCTGCCTGTCCTGGAATTCACTATGGCCACCAGGCAGTCCTGGAGGTAGAGATCTTCCTGCCAGTATCTACTAAGTGCTGGGATTAAAGGCCCCGTGCCCAGCAGTGATACAGTTTATGTGTAAGGTACAACAGAGTGGCAGTAGCAGGTATTAAATGGAAATGGAGGCCACATCCAAAGCGTTCCTGTGCAGAGAAGCCAAGAAAACCCTGAGGGACCTTGACTTTGACTTGTGAGTGACCAGCTGAGATTGAGCAATGTCTTTTAAGTGGCTGCAATGGGCTGATTCTCTAGCTCAGTGGTCCAGTGTTTGCAGGGCAGCTTGGAGTCTTGGATTCTATCCCCAGTGGCCCAACATTGAGAAATAAATGCCTGTTTGTGCATTAAAGACAATTTAAGCTTAACCAGAAATAGTCAACATAGTTACATAGCTAGGGGCTCCCAATGGGGCAGGCCAAATGAGGCAATTATTCCACTGCAGCCCAGCAAGCATTCTCTTTACTTCACTTCTGTGTGCCCAGGGAAGCTTTCCTCTGCAGGTCCTTAGTGCAGCTCTGGAATCAGTTACCTCATTCATGAGTCCTTGTTTGCCAAATCAATTTTAAAAAATCACATTGTCCCAATTTTTCTCATTCTGAAACAATAGTACTTCAGAAGGCAGAAACACTTGGTAAGAATGAAATGGCAAATTTTAAATATGGTATAACTCAGAAATACCACCTCTCCCTTTTGAGAGAGGACCTCTTGCTGGCCTGTAGCTCAAGGATAGACAGATTTGCCAGTCACTGGGGATCAGCCTGTCTCTACCTCCCCTGCAATGGGTTACAAGTACTTATTATCATATTCAGTAATGTTTTTTGGGTTTTTTGAGACAGGGTTTCTCTGTAGCTTTGGAGCCTGTCCTGGAACTAGCTCTTGTAGACCAGGTTGGCCTCAAATTCACAGAGATTTGTTTGCCTCTGTCTCCTGAGTGCTGGGATTAAAGGTATGCACCACACCTGGCTTCAATATTTTTCTGTGGGTTCTGAGGACTGAATTTAGATACTCTTGCTTGCCAGAAAATCACTTTACTGACTGATCTATCACTCTAGACACCATATGTAGACATAATTTTACCACTTAAATTTGAAGTAAAGTTTCGTAGGAATTTTGAAAGAAGAACAAATAAACCTCAACATAAATCGGGGCTTCTTGAAGTCCTTTGCAAATAAAAAAATATATAGCCCAAGAAACAAGATGTAAACAATATATTTAGACTCAAAGCCATCAAACTCCAAAATCATCAGCTTTCTCCCTGTTCTTAGCAATATATTAAACTACTCCATGAACGATGTGCTCTAAAATTATAGCAGGAATTTATGCTGTGATAATTATGTAGACTGCAGGAGATTTGGGGCTTTACATCTGCCTGGAACAGTGAGACTGGAGCATGCTCCACATCCCTGCTCACACTGTTTACACCTATAAAGGTAGCACATACTCAGACTGTTGTCTGCTCTGGTTAATGTATGTAGGTGGAAGGAAATGCAGAGGTCTGGGACACACTGAGACAAAGTCAGGAAGAGAGAATGACTCCAATGGCAGTATAGAAAAATGAAACCATGGTTTCATAGTATCTGAAAAGGTTGCTTTTCTTTTCATTAAGAAGTTACCTGTATGAATAAGTGCATGTATATGTGGTTGGCCTTCTGCATCTAAAGAGTCAACTAAGCGTGACTCAAAAATATTTGACATAGAACTTTGTGTTGAGCACGTGCAGGCTCTTGCCACCATTCCAGAAACAATTGGTATGACACTGATTTGTCCCACATTGACATTGCATTTCTTGGGGGTTCTAAGTGACCTGAGATGATTTAAAGTACACGGGAAAAATTTTACAAGGACTATATCCAAATTCTATAATATTTTATATAAAAGATTTAGACTTCTGTGGTAGCTGAGGGGGATCTTGGAGCCTATCTGTGAACACCAAGGGGAAACTGTGTATATGATGTATAAAATGTATGCATGTAAATATTTACATGTAATATTCCTTAAATAGGATTTCTTTCAAATGGATGATGGTTGGAGTAAGAAGCAGGGAGCACAAGGTACTTGATGGGAGAAATGAATAAAACCCTTCAATTTGTGGGAGAAAATTTCCTCATGGAGAGCTGATAGAAATTCTTGGAGGGAAAAGCTACTGACTTACTTCATACAGTGTCTGAGAAAGGACGACCAGACAATGAGAATGAGGAAGACCAGATATGCATCTTGCAGAAGGAAGAAACTTCTATGTGATGGAGCAGGAGCAAGGTCTCCAGGAATGGATCACTCATGTCTCCATGTCTGGGTGTTCATGGGTATTACCTCAATGAATAGGATACTGTGGGATAGCCAACGAAAAGACACCCCCAGTAAAGACTATCAATGGTCACCTAAAACGTGGAAGGATTTTCCCACCATGGAAAGGCATTACTTTTGGGTAATCACAGATTCAATCTGGTCCGGCCATTGAGTAGAGAAAGGCAAAGATGCTTACTTCAGGCTGGGGATTGTTAGCTCTATGTTGAACTTCTCAGCCACTTGTATCTCCCAGATGCACTCCGTGTCAGTGGGGTAGTTCATAGGGTACCAAGGACTGGAGAAGGATCCCGAGAGACTTGAAATGACTCCTCCACAGGAGTTACTTCCTTCTGAGAAAGCAGATGAGAGACTTGTGGTTGGCATCTTCAGGAACTCACTTGGCATGTTCCTAGATGCAGAATTCAGAATGACATCAAATTCTACACTGGGCATCATAAAATGGGAAGAGATTTGGCTGGTCTGGATAGTCATAGTTTGTCTTGTACAAGTAGGTATAGATCTAAGAGCGATATAGGAGAATAAAATATAAATGATTGGCAAGCTGGACTCTAAAAGTGATTGAGAATGAGACGTGTGTGTGTGTGTGTGTGTGTGTGTGTGTGTGTGTGTGTGTGTATAATGGGGCATGTGGTAGCATCTAGGCTACATTTTATGTTTGTGCAGGCACATGTACACATGTGTGACGAGGTGGACAGTGGCTAGCCTTGTATTGTGCTCAGCTGCTGCCCACCTTGGTTTTTTTGAGACAGGGTCCTCATTGACCTAGAACTCACTGATTAACCTCACTGGCTTGCCAGTGAATCTCAAGAATCCCAAGAATCTACCCATCTTTGCCTCTCCAATATTGGTATTATAAGCATACAGCACTATGTTTGTTTGTTTTTTTTAACATGGGTTCTGGGGCTAGTACTTAGGTACTTGTATTTGCAAACACTACCAAGTCAGCTATTTCCAGTCCCCTAAACTATGTATATAATTCTTTAATGGTCTTTTTAGACTCAGACCTGAAAGCCAGCTCAACTCAGTGGGGACAACATGGCTGCTTGTGAGGGCTTTATCCCACCATTCCTTCCTCTCATGTCAAACAGAAGAGGCCGACGTCAATGCTGTTTGTATGAGTTATCACAATGTCATTCAAGTTTGTATGTTATAGGTCATAATTTCAAGCAAGATATGTGGTATGTGGAATTGATGAATGGAAGTTTCAAAAAAATCCAAACCAAAGAAAACCAGAATAGAGTCAGTATTATATAGTCATTTTATACTTAAATGCCAATGAACACACATATTACTATTTTCAAGTTTTAACAAATAGTTTGGAGACACTTATTTCTCTTTCCACCTTAATCTTGGATAGAGTTCCCCTTCTTTCTGTAGAGTCACCAGAATAAAAATCATAGACAATGCCCATAAAATCAAGTCATCACAGACATGACGTCTGTTCTCCTGAACACTAGGTTCACCAAGTCAGGGGCTGACCTGACTGAAGCGCCTCTGTCTTTTTAATCATACTGGTAACGCTTTGAGCACCAAAAGCCGGGAGGCCAAAACTCAGAATCCTTATAGTCAATATGGGGATGGGTAGGCTGGACAAGGGTTCTGTTGAGGGAGGAGGAACATCACTGGGGACCGCTGCAGGCTGTGTTGTGGCATCTCCATGTATGCGCATCATTGTACTTGGCCTTTGTCCATTGCCTTCCCAAGCTGCACTTCCTCATCCCCCACTTCCTCTTAGTTCTCTTCCTTTCTTCACTTACTTCCCACCTCTGCGCTCCTATTACACAAGTTCCACTACTCTCTCTATTTCATACCTCCTTTAAAATCCTTCCTCCCCTTTCATCACCCCTTCTTTTAGTTTCATGGCCTAGAAGTGCACACATACACGTACGTACGTACATCTTTTCCAGCTACACAACTCACAGGGGGTTAATGTGCAGGGAATGTAAAGAAATACTATTGTTGTTGTTGTTTTTAATTTCTGCTGCATGTCAGAAGCACATGGGAGCTTGCCTATTGCTGATGACTAGTAGTGGCCCTCAAGGTTCTGATGTGACCAGTCTGAGGAACAGCGGAGGCACCAATGTGCAGACAGAATCGGAAATCACTGCTCTGGTCACTGTCTGCCAGTGTATAGGTGAGGACACAGATGTCTCAGCCTTGAAAAGATGGAATTTACAGTGCTGGACTTACCTGAGGGTGGAGGAGTTACCGCTGCATCTGCACAAACAGGAAACAAATGAATTCAGGGATTTTAAAATAAATTTCATGGAGACAAATATTAGTTTTTCTAATGTGGGCATGTCTCAAGCAGACAGGCTTCATGCTACATAAGCAAGCTTTTTCCTGGGAAAGTGGCTTCACCTCTGGGGAAGGTGCAGACACTAGGAAAAGCTAACCAAGTATGCCTGAGTGTCTGTCTGCAAAACAGTCAGACTTAGCATTCCCTGTCTACCTTGCTCCTGCCAATTTACCAGTTCTAGAATCACCTAGGAGACAAACCTCTGGGCTTGTTTAAGAAGTTTCTAGATTCGGTTTGCTGAGGTGGAAACCCCCACTCTAAATGTGGTCTCAGACTGCATGAAAAGAAGGAAGTTCAGTGCCAGCATTCACCTCTCTCTGCTTCCTGGCTTCAATACAATATGACTAGCTCTCTCAAACTCTGTCTTTCATGATTCTCTGGCAGAGTAAACTGTACCTGAACTACAAGTCAAAACAAATTCTTCCATTTATAAGTTGCTTTTGTCTAAAGTTTTGTTTACTGCTATGAGAAAAGTAACCAATATGGCCATTTTCAATAGTCACATCCCTATTCTGCTTATGGCTAAAGAACTCATTATGGGAGGCACAGTACCTGAGCAGATAACGCCAGCATCTTCATGGTGGCCACAGTTGTGGTCTAACCAGGCAGAGCTGGGGCATTGGCCAAAGTGGTTCTCCTTTCCTGAGCACTGAATGTTGTCCAGGAGGATGTTTCCCGAGCCTGGGCCAAAGTAGGCACTTCCAGGAGCAGCGATGGCGTGGCCACACCCCAGTTGTCTGCAGATGACCTCAGCTTCATTCATGTCCCACAAGTCATCACACACAGTGCCCCAGGCCCCCTGATGGAGGACCTCCACACGTCCCGAGCACTGTCCGGAGCTGCCTGCCAGCCGCAGCACTAGTCTGTCTTCTAAATGGAAGAAGATTTCACTTTTGAGCATGGGGAGGTTTATGTAGGGAGTGGCTCCTACAGGCTGTGCCATGACCAAGGCAAATGCAAGCACAAACCCTTGTGTGGTTGTCTTGATTCCATATGAAACCCAAAGGTGAAAGAGTAAGTCAGAAATTGGGGTAAAATCTCATTCTGCTGCTGCCCACTCCTTGGCAATCCCTTCCTCTCTCTGAGCCGTTCCCTCATTTGTAAAGTAAGGAATCTAGCAAGAGTTTATCCCAGAGGCCCTTGGGGTGAATTGGTGAGAGCATGCATATAAGACACACAGAACACAGCCAGAAAGGAATTTCTTTTCTCAGGGACAAACACACCAAACTTCAGACAGGAACTTACTAATTATCTGGTTTTCTGGCAGCCACAAAGAATTATTGGGGTTCCTGCAATGGGGAACCTGAACATCAAAAAAAACCTCACAACTGGTGGCAGGCAGTGTTCCTTGCAGGATACAAACTGAAGCTAGCTCTGGAATGACTGGCTACAAGGCCAGGGCTAAAAGGAGTCCTGAAGCCTTTAGTTGGGGTGAGTCTATGATTTAGGGCATGCTGGGTCAACAGGTAGAGGGAAGTGGAATCTCCAGGGATGTCGGGTGTCCACATTTCACTTGCTACCTGGCCCCCATGGTGAGAAAATCTAGCCCCTCATGAAGCAGGGGAGATATGTGTATGTGTGTGTGTGTGTGTGGTGGTGGAGAACAGAACCAGTCTCTGTAAGAGGAGAGTCAAATAAGAATTTGATCTCTATTATATCCCCGAAGATACCTGACTCTTCCTACCTGACCTCCTTCCATCTTGTGAAATTGCATTGAAAAAAGCATAAAAGCCAGTGTTTGTTGTCATATAATCGCTTCGGAACACCACTGTCAAGATGTCTGAGGAGGAGAAAAATACCACAGCTGACGGGGCACAGAACTTCCCCATGGAGAGTGATGCAATTCTGGGGCCGTCGAAGATCTCAATTGAGTCGTAGGGACATCCAAGGATATCTTCCAGGCTGGGGGAACAAAAGCTGGGAATTAGTGGCCCAGTACCAAGACCCTCCGTATCAACACCCCAATCTGTGACAGGCTAGAACATGAAGTATTCCTTAGCTTTCCCAAAGGGCTTTATCAGGACTTTTTCTTTTTCTTCGCCCGAGGGAGTATATGAAGTTTATTTTACAATCTCATCATGAGTTTTAAAATCATTGTGCTTCTGACCAGCCACCAAGATAATATGGCTTAGGAATTTGTGATTGCTGTTTCCTTGGGTTTAAAACAAGTCTGAATTGACAGCCTTGACACAGTCATGACTGAACCATGATCCAGTGTCTGGCTGGGCTGGCTTAGCATGGAATCTCATGGTCTTGCTCTGTTGCAGCATTGTATGAGCCATGTGAGAGAAGAAAGGCCTTGCGAAGGTTTTGCTGGGAGACAGCTGTTAGTGAGGAATGGGGGCTTCCACATCAATTGGACCCACGTTTGTTCAATGGGCAAGTTAGTTCCTCTCCATGATCTCATTTTCCTCTTCTCCAATGAGGATGACAAAGCATCTGTAGGCTATCGTGAGGCTGGAGCATGTCAAAGCCTAGAGACATCTAGCCCAGGGGCTGTAGAGATAGCTCAGTTGGTAAAGTGCTTGTCAAGAAACATGAAAGACCTGACTTTAAACCCCAGAACCCATAAGGAAATTCTGGCTGTGGTGACTTAGCCCACTCCCAGAGTTCAACACCAATGAGAGACCCTCCCTTGAAGAACAATGTGGACAATGCCTGAGACAGGACACCTGAAATGACCTTTGACATCCACATGCTCATAGGTGTATGCATGTGCACAAACACATAGAAGAAGCATGCAGCTCATGGTCTGGACACAGTCAGTGTTCTAAAATGTCAGCTGTCACTTTATGTCACGGCGATGGAGAGGTCACAGTGACTATGGAACCTGTTCTCTTTCTGTCAGAGGTGAGGCACTAGCTCTTCTATTTCCTTCCACTTTGAGGGAACACTTAGAAAATGCAGAGCCCAAGCCTGGAATAACTGACTAGCACATGTCTTAGGAAAAATCTCTTAACTTTTGTATAAAATATAGAAGGGCAAAGATGCTAGCCTGAAAGACATATATTGGTCCCTAGTGTAAAAGGTCAAAGGTTTTGAGCATTTAGGAAGTATTTTTAGAAAAAAATATCAAAAAGCAAACCATCAAAGCTGAAATGTGTCAAATGTGTTGACAAATGATTTGCTGCATATTTCTAGCTAGAAGAGACCTTCCAGATACCACCACAAAAGTAACTAAGACTTGAACTTGGAGACACTGCAGTGTGTTAGCTCCTATGCTTTCTTCTCACTAAAGGAAATGTCTTGGCCACAGTCAACAAACTGATATTCTTACTCAATTTAACTTACTCTCTCTCTCTCTCTCTCTCTCTCTCTCTCTCTCTCCCTCTCTTTGAATTTTCGAGACAGGGTTTCTGTCCTGGAACTAGCTCTTGTAGACCAGGCTGGCCTCGAACTCACAGAGATCCGCCTGCCTCTGCCTCCCGAGTGCTGGGATTAAAGGCGTGCGCCACCACCGCCCGGCTAACTTTCTCTTTAAAACTATCTTCTTACTTCAAATTTGGAATCATGAGTTCTATGCGGAAGTTTTTCTCCACATGGATCTCCCAAACACATTGGATGTCTGTTGGATAGTTTTCTGGGTATCTTGGACTGGAAAATGAGCCAGAGAGACTGGAAATGACCCCTCCACAAGAGTTGCTTCCTCCTAGAACACAAAAAAAGGATGTCAGGTTGCAACCACATGGTGTCATTGAGTGATCTTAGGAATGACCAGCTCATAGTCAATGTGATCAAGACAGAAAGGTCAAGTGTGGTCAGGTGGCAGTTGGCCTGGGTAAGCTGGTATTTAGCTTAGCATCTCTTAGGAAGCCATTTGATCTAATCCCAATGACTTGAAAGCATCACTGTGTAAGAATTTCTGCAAGGAGTTGGCATACATCCTCTCTGCTTACTGCATCTCTCCTTTCCAAAATGGACAGAATCTTTGTTTTCTGGGAGGAGGAGGAGGAGGAGGATCTATATACTATGAGAGACAAGGCAGGAGGAAGGACAGAGAGATAGGCTGTCTGCCATGTGTAAGAGGTACACTTTGAGGAGGTTTTGGAGTAAGAGGCTACAGAACAACCGTGGAGTCTGATGACGCAGGGAGCAGAAGGGACATTGAGCAGAGTTGGGAGCTTATGACTGGGACCTTGTTTCAGTCCACTGTTGTCACTTCGCTTGACCGTGTTTGTTCCCTGTAACTCAGTGTATTCAGACTGGAACTTGAATAATTGGGGATTTATAAAAGTTAAACAAGAAGACAAAGATCTAGTTCTTCCTTCATCATTTTCTTCATTCTGGCATAGATATGAATAGATACAGCTCTACACAGGTATACAAGGCAGAATGCTGTCTAAAGCAGTGTATAACTTAAAATTATCGAGTTCCTTTGGAGGATCTTGACAACACAATGCACTTCATTGATCTTATACCTATTATTGAGTTTCTCAGTTTCCCTTCTTTTCACCTCCATGACCATCTTGTTATCCTCCCAGGGACCCACAGGTTCCTAATCTTGTCTAATATGGATGCTGGGTGCATGTTCCCAGAAACTCTACATTCCTGTCACTAACCACATTCTGGGGTGGGAGAAAACTGAGATCAAATCCAGGGTGTTGTGCAAGTGCTCTCTACCACAGAACCAATCCCCCAGTCTCTTGTGGTGACAATGTCTCATGATATAGCCAAGGGTGGCCTTGAACTGAAAAAGCCTCCTGTCTGTAACCCTCAAGTGTGATGACAGGTGTCACTGATCATTCCATACTCCATTTATCACATCTATAGGTTACAACAGAGCCAAGACACACATGTGGCAAGAGAGGAACATCAGGTATCTACGAGCATCCCCTAGGAAGTGCCTAAACAAGACAGGCTGAGTAGGGGTCTGATGAACTGTAGAACTACACTCTGCCATCTTGTTGACCTTTTATCTACTTAGTCTTGGGAAGACTCACAGCCATCTTTTCTCACGTGGTCTTCCTAATAAACAGTCAGCATTTACAGAGCGGCAGCAAAGGAGTCAGCCTCTCACCCACATATGCCAGGGGCTCTTTTGAGCTACATCCATGGACATTGCCTAGAATCTGCTGACATGGAGTTAACCATTTCAAGCAAAGAAGTGACTACCTGTTATTGGATCCCGAGAAGCTGGAGGAGGACCTGGAAGGGGAAAAGAAAATAAAAATGACATCCAGGGGGAAATCTTTGGTCTCATTTACAATTCAGTGCATGGTGAAGGGTTTCTTTGGAGACATCAATATATTTGGTGCAAACTTAGAAGAGTCTGAAGCTGCTGAGTGACTGTTCTCTATGATTCTATGGTTGATCAAAACCAGCCAATACTTGGACATGCCTCCTACCACCATCAAGCTCCCTCCCTGGAACCCGAGTGGGCTCTACAACTGCTTTGAAGAATAGGATATAGCAGAAGCTAATGTCTTGAGGAACTATTGATATCTACTTCCTGTTTAGAGAATGCTGCTTACTCAGACAGCCTCACACCATCTTACTAAAGAGACTAATATAGAGGTCCTGAGACTTTCTGGAAGGGAAAAGGATCCATCTTTCCAGCTGCACCCACAAGGGCACAAATCGTGTAAGCAAAGATATCTTGAGCTCTCCAAACCAGCATTCAGGCAAATGACATGGAGACCCCGGCTTGATACTCTGAGGAGCATAAGAACCCCAAGTTGAGCCCTGCTCCAATTCCTGACCCACAAAACCATGGCATATATCTGTTTGTTTTAAAATACTAAATTTTGGGACAGCAATGGAAAACCAGGTGACTCCTTCATTTCTTTATCACCTATACAATTTACATGAAGTGAGCAATATATAGACAAGCCCTCATGCGTATAGCTACTGTTGGAGTTGGGGATTTAGCTTGATGATAGAATGCTTGCCTAGCAAGTACAAGGCCCTGGGTTCAGTCCTCCAGTCTGAGAAATTTTTAAAAATCCACTATTCTTGAACTTAACCATTGCCTTTTGGCTTTAAATTTTAAGCACTTCTCTCAATCACGACCCCAACACATAAGCTGACCTTGTCTCAGGACACACAGCCTGCATCAAATTCTCCTCCAGGTAAATGCCATGAGAGGTGTTTCTGTCAATGACCTGTGGCTTATGTGTTCTCCGCAGCTGACGGGGACATTCCAGGTACATTTAAAGGGGAAGTCCCATTCTTTCTTCAAGCTACATATTACAAGATATCTGACCACTCTGCTGGAGAGACATTGTAAAGAGGTCCTGGGAGCACAGGAAAAGGAAGGGGACCCATTCTTAAAGCTATCCCCAGGAGAGTTACTATGGGCAGGCTTTGGATCTCCCTTATCCTCAACCATGGGGAGTAAATAATTCACTTATCAGGGGCCCTTGCATCATATCTACCAATGCTTTGGGCAGATGTTGGATGTTGCAATGAATAAAAAGTATGTTTCCAGTGTCATTCCAAAAATTTATAATTATCCACTAGTCTGAATTTTCTAATATCTGATTATATATATGTATATATATATATATACATATATATAGTGTAAAAACTTGGTTATCCATTAATCTATCTAATAATCAAAATTGTTTAATCTTTCTTAAATATTTCTCATGAAAACATAGCATGGGGGTGGGTTAAAGAATTGTCTTGGTGATGAGAAGTAGCCGGAGCAAACTATCTCGCCAACTTTGCTATAGCTTTGTCTGATCTGGGTGTCTACTGGGACAGTGTTGGTATGACAAATGAGATTGGAGGTCAAGTGCACTGAGTGTTGACCCAAGTCCCCTGGCTATCCAAGAGTTCCCTGCTGACTTTCTAGGTGTTTCTTTATGTAAATACTCAAAATATCTTCCTAAGGGGAATTAAAGGAGTTGGAGGGAGTCCCTGACTTATAAAGATTTGACCTATGGATTTTCATACAGGAGAACCTGTCCTTCAAACTTTGAATGTGGATCTTTTCCTGGGGTCATATATGGGGATGATCCTCCCTTGAGATGCTGGGCCACAGCAGTGAACTCCCAGGCAACCACAGATAGTGAGGATATGCAGCAGGTGCTCTCAGCGTGCTGTTGCTGAGCCAGGAAGTTCAATAGCTTAGGTGTAGGAAATGCATTCTTTGACATGCGATGTTTTTATAGTGGGCTTTCTGGGACACAGCTCCATCATGAGGTGAGCAATGTACATGTATGAAGAGCTCAGAGAAATGCCTGACTCTTAACGTTTTTTTTTTTTTTAAGAAACATATATTTAGTACTGCTATCATGGTTTTTCTTCCTGGATGGGAAGTTCCTTCAACTAGGAGGGCACTGGACATACCTGGTGGCATGGGTGGAGGGGGGCCATCTGAATCTGTACACACAAAGAAAAGCAACAGGTTACTCTCTTTGATGAATTCAAGGGAGAGGTGACAAGAAGTGGATAGTGAATAAAAGGGACAGGCTCATGACCTTTCTGGGTGCAGAAACCAGCTACTAAAATGGTCAGTTGGGGTGGTGGTGCATGCCTTTAATTCCAGCACTTCGGAGAAATAGGTAGGCAGATCTCTGTGAGTTTGAGGCTAGCCTGGTCTACAAAAGCCAGGACAGGCTCCAAGGCTACAGAGAAACCTTGTCTTGAAAAACCAAACAAAACAAAACAAATTAAAACAAACAAAAAAATATCAAATGGACACTCTCATCTAGGGAAGTCCTTTGCTTAGAGAACTTAGCACAGGCATTGGGTCAGCTGTGTTTCATGGTGGGCAGGGTTAGGTTATTTTTGGTGCTCCTATGCAGAGTTCCTGGGACTCTTGTTAAAGCACAGACTCCCAAGCTCCTTTCCAAATCTACTCAGCGATAGTTTCTTGGTAGAGGTGCCCTGAAATTTTTACTGTGATGCCCCAAGAGAGATGCCTGTAGATATCATGGACTTCCTAAATGCCACCATGTGCCACTCATGACCGGATAGGTGTCTGACCCAGGGCCTAGACCTGAAGGGCTGCTTAAAGAATCAAAGGAATGGATGGAAAATGCCACCCTGCAAAGATAGTTTCAAAATGTCTTCAGATGCACAGGAATAAGATGTATACCTGAGCAAATAACACCAGCATCTTCATGGTGGCCACAGTTATGTTCTGACCATCCTGAATGTGGACACTGGCCAAGGTAATGCTCCATCCCAGAACACTGAAGGTTGTCCAGGAAGATGTCTCCTGAGCCTGGGCCAAAGTAGGCCTCACCGAGACTAGAAATAGCCTGACCACACTCTAGCTGGCGGCACACAACCTCAGCTTCATTTGAACCCCACAAGTCATCACACACAGTGCCCCAGACTCCCTGGTGAAGGACCTCCACTCGTCCTGAGCACCGGCTGGAGCCACCCACCAGGCGAAGTTCTGGCCAGTCTCCTGTAGACAGAGATGCGGTGTGAGTCTCCACCCCCATGCCCTCACCTGGAGTCCAACAGTACCATCTTTAGAGGATGGTTAGGATGGGGTCTCAGGCATTGATCCTTATGTTTACCATTGGTTTCTGAGTTGCAGTTTGTGGGGGTTGCAGCAAATTTTGTTTCAACAGAGTATTTTGTTTCTCATATTGATATTGATACCATTGATGGTACAGACATAGACCCTCAGGGAGCCTCGGTCTACTCGCTAGTAAAATATATACATCAGTATAATGCATTATTCTATACTATGATAATACAACAAAGAGGAAGACAGGATATTAGAGGAAATGACAGAGAGGAATATTATTGGAAAGAACATAAAAACATTAGTGGAAGATCCAAGGAAGATATTTTGGACCAGAGAGAAGAGCACAGGCAAGAAGCCCTAAGGAACTATGTCACTTCTGCATGTATCTTTTCTCCTGGAGCTATGACAGTGATGAAAATGGGCAAATATGTAGCCCATTTGTCATGTGATATGTGAGTGAATGTTTTTGCAAAGGGTATGCAAAAACATAAAGTGATGGATACACATATGAACACACATACATACACATACAACACATCAGAAAAATCATCCACCACGATCAAGTAGGCTTCATCCCAGAGATGAAAATATCATATAACATATGAAAATCTGTCAATGTAATCCACCATATAAACAAACTGAAAGAAAAAAGACACATATCTCATTAGATACTGAAAAAGCCTTTGACAAAATTCAACACCTCTTCAATAAAAGTCTCAGAGAGAGCAAGGATACAAGGAACATAAACATAAACATAATAAAGGCAACATACAGCAAGCCAACAGCCAACATCAAACTAAATGAAGAGAAACTCAAAGTGATCCCTCTGAAATCAGGAACAAAACACGGTTGTCCACTCTCTCCATATCTACTCAATATAGTACTTGAAGTTCTAGCTAGAGCAGTAAGACAACAAAAAAAGGGATATAAATAAGAAAAAAAGAAGTCAAACTCTCACTGTTTGCCAATGATATGATAGAATACTTAAGTGGCCCCCAAAATTCTGTCAGTTAACTCCTACAACTCATAAATACCTTCAGTAATGTAGCAGGATACAAGAGTAACTCAAAAAAATCAGTAGCCCTCCTGTGCACAGATGATAAAAGGGCTGAGAAAGAAATCAAAGAATCAACACCCTTCACAATATCCCCAAATAGCATAAAATATCCTGGAGTAACTCTATCCAAACAAGTGGAAGACTTTATGACAAAAACTTTAACTCTTTAAAGAAAGAAATCAAAGAAGACACCAGAAAATGTAAAGATCTCCCATGTTCTTGGGTAGGCAGAATTAACATAGTAAAAATGGCAAACTTATCAAAAGCAATCTACAGACTCAATGCAATGCCCAGCAAAATTCTTTACAGACCTCAAAAGAACAATACTCAACTTCATATGGAAAGACAAAAAACCCAGGATAACCAAAACAATACTGTACAATAAAAGAACATCTGGAGGCATTACAATCCCTGACTTCAAACTCTTACTGTAGAACTACAGTAACAAAAACAGCCTGGTATTGCCATAAAAACAGACAGGAGGACCAATGGAATAGAATCGAAGACCCAGATATCAATCCACACACCTACAAACATCTAATTTTTGGCAAAGAATCTAAATATATAAAATGAAAAAAAAGCATAGTCAAAAATGGTGCTGGCATAACTTGATATCAACACATAGAAGAATGAAAACAGATTCAGATCTATTGTCATGCACAAAACTCAAGTTCAAATGGATCAAAAACCTCAACATAAAACCAACAACACTGGACCTCATAGAAGAGAAAGTGGTAAGTACACTTGAATGCAATGGCACAGGAGACCACTTCCTAAATATAACCCCAGCAGCACAAACACTGAGAGAATCAATAAGTGGGACCTCCTGGAACTGAGATCCTTCTGTAAAGCAAAGGACATGGTCAACAAGACAAAACGGCAGCTTACAGAATAGGAAAAGATCTCCACCAACCCCACATCAGACAGAGGACTGATCTCCAAAATATACAAAGAACTCAAGAAATTGATCATCAAAAGAACAAATAATCCAATAAAAACATGGGGTAGAGACCTAAACAGAGAATTCTCAACAGAGCAATATAAAATGGCTGAAAGATGCTAAGGAAACGCTCAACATCCTTAGTCATCAGAGAAATGCAAATCAAAACAACTCTGAGATTCCATCTCACATCTGTAAGAATGGCCAAAATCAAAACCACTGATGACAGTTTATGCTGGAGAGGATGTGGGGTAAGGGGAACACTCCTCCATTGCTGGTGGGAGAGCAAACTTATACAGCCACTTTGGAAATCAGTATGGTGATTTCTCAGAAAATTAGGAAACAATCTACTTCAAGACTCAGCAATACCATTTTTGGGTATATACCCAAAAGATAATCAACCATATCACAAGGACATTTGCTCAACTTTGTTCATAGCAGCATTGTTTGTAATAGTCATAACCTAAAAACAACCTAGGTGCCCTTCAACCGAAGAATGGATAAGGAAAATGTAGTACATTTACAAAATGGAGTACCGCATCTTTAAATTTATAATGACATCTTGAAATTTTCAGGCAAATGGATGGATCAGGAAAAAATCATATTGAGTGAGGTACCCCAGACCCAGAAAGACAAATATAATATGTGTATTTACTCATAATTGACTTTTAGACATAAGTGAAAAAAAAAACTAGCTTACAGGCCACAACTCCAGAGAAACTAAACAACAAAGAGGACCCTAATAGAGACATACACGGATCTACACAGGAAGTTGAAGAAAAAAAAAAGATCTCCTGAATAAATTGGAAGCATGGGGGTCATGGGAGAGGGTGGAAGGGGAGAAGGGAGAAAGGGAGGGGAGTGGAGAAAAATGTACAGATCAATAAAAACAATAAAGAATAAAAAACAGGGCGCCAGGAGACCCAGCATTGGGGTGAGTTTCTGGCCCACGGCGCCAGCCTGGGACGGGGAGCTCGGGGGTTTCTTGGCCCCCTGTCCTGCTTGGGCTCTCTGCTGCCTCTTTCTTCCTGGCCCACCCAGCTTCCGTCCAGACCCCTCCCCACTTCGCCCCCACTGCCCTCTTTTGGCGCGTAGCATCGCCCAGCGCAGCCTATCTGGGCGCTGGGTCCGAGTACCCGGGGCTCCCGGGCGGGCAGCAGTTCCTTTGTTTCTGTGGCCTGCCTGCACCAAGCAGGGTAGGCGCTTTGTCTGCGGGCTGCCCAACCAGCACGGAGGCCTGATCTTTCGGCGCCAGGAGACCCAGCATTGGGGTGAGTTTCTGGCCCACGGCGCCAGCCTGGGACGGGGAGCTCGGGGGTTTCTTGGCCCCCTGTCCTGCTTGGGCTCTCTGCTGCCTCTTTCTTCCTGGCCCACCCAGCTTCCGTCCAGACCCCTCCCCACTTCGCCCCCACTGCCCTCTTTTGGCGCGTAGCATCGCCCAGCGCAGCCTATCTGGGCGCTGGGTCCGAGTACCCGGGGCTCCCGGGCGGGCAGCAGTTCCTTTGTTTCTGTGGCCTGCCTGCACCAAGCGGGGTAGGCGCTTTGTCTGCGGGCTGCCCAACCAGCACGGAGGCCAGATCTTTCGGCGCCAGGAGACCCAGCATTGGGGTGAGTTTCTGGCCCACGGCGCCAGCCTGGGACGGGGAGCTCGGGGGTTTCTTGGCCCCCTGTCCTGCTTGGGCTCTCTGCTGCCTCTTTCTTCCTGGCCCACCCAGCTTCCGTCCAGACCCCTCCCCACTTCGCCCCCACTGCCCTCTTTTGGCGCGTAGCATCGCCCAGCGCAGCCTATCTGGGCGCTGGGTCCGAGTAGCCGGGGCTCCCGGGCGGGCAGCAGTTCCTTTGTTTCTGTGGCCTGCCTGCACCAAGCGGGGTAGGCGCTTTGTCTGCGGGCTGCCCAACCAGCACGGAGGCCTGATCTTTCGGCACCAGGAGACCCAGCATTGGGGTGAGTTTCTGGCCCACAGCGCCAGCCTGGGACGGGGAGCTCGGGGGTTTCTTGGCCCCCTGTCCTGCTTGGGCTCTCTGCAGGGCCTCTACTCCCCGGGTGCTGCCTCTTTCTTCCTGGCCCACCCAGCTTCCGTCCAGAGCCCTCCCCACTTCGCCCCCACTGCCCTCTTTTGGCGCATGGCATAGCCCAGCCCAGCCTATCTGGGCGCTGAGTCCGAGTAGCCGGGGCTCCCGGGGGGCAGCAGTTCCTTTGTTTCTGTGGCCTGCCTGCACCAAGCGGGGTAGGCGCTTTGTCTGCAAGCTGCCCAACCAGCACGGAGGCCTGATCTTTCGGCGCCAGGAGACCCAGCATTGGGGTGAGTTTCTGGCCCACGGCGCCAGCCTGGGACGGGGAGCTCGGGGGTTTCTTGGCCCCCTGTCCTGCTTGGGCTCTCTGCAGGGCCTCTACTCCCCGGGTGCTGCCTCTTTCTTCCTGGCCCACCCAGCTTCCGTCCAGAGCCCTCCCCACTTCGCCCCCACTGCCCTCTTTTGGCGCGTGGCATCGCCCAGCCCAGCCTATCTGGGAGCTGAGTCCGAGTAGCCGGGGCTCCGGGGGGGCAGCAGTTCCTTTGTTTCTGTGGCCTGCCTGCACCAAGCGGGGTAGGCGCTTTGCCTGCGAGCTGCCCAACCAGCACGGAGGCCTGATCTTTCGGCGCCAGGAGACCCAGCATTGGGGAGACCCAGCATTGGGAGAGCCAACATTGGGGAGAGACAGCGTTTGGTAGGCAAGGAGACCTAATCCGGTAAAAGAAGATCCATAGGGAGCATTTGGAAGAAGAGATGGGCCGACGTCAAGGCAAGAATTCGCCCAACAAGCTGAAAAGCAACATGAAGCTACCAGAAACAAGCGACCTCACAACGGGAGGACAAGAACCCCTTAATCAAGAGGAAGGAGAAAAGATTGACTTCATGAAAGTGATTGACACCCTTAAACAGCATGTAAAAAAC